GGGAAGGGAAGGGAAGGGAAGGGAAGGGAAGGGAAGGGAAGGGAAGGTGGCAGGTTTGGTTGATTTGTCCATGGCCAAGGAACATGTGTGCAAGGAGCAGTGCTGGGTTTCCTGGCCAGGCCAGGTGTGAGGGGGTGTTATTAGCGTTATGTAGCTGAGTAATGAAGGCATTTCCCTTGTTCTCCTGAATGAGGAACATTTCCACTGTAACTCTCAGCTGTCGCTGTCCCCAGAGAGGGGCTTTGCATTCCCCTTGCCCAGCCCAGCCCAGTCCAGCCCACGTTGTGTGGCCTGGCATTCCCTGCTTCCCTGGGACAGTTTGCAGAGCAGCCGAAGGGAGCAGACAGCCTCACAAACGCTGCGTGACTTTTCTCTGGCCTGGCAGTAACAGTGTTCAGTGGTTCAGCTGCTTTGGCTGGGCAGGCACCAGGCGTCTGTTTTGGCAAGTCCCTGTGCATGGCACAAACAGACTCACCAGAAGGTGACCTGCTAATTGCATTACGGTTGTGTGGTCTGAGGATTAGTGTTGCTAAAAGTAAAGTTGGGTGGTGTTCGAGATTAGCCTGATGAATAGTAAACACACAGGGCCACTCTCTTGCACAAGGGGAGCAAGGCTTTTAACATGGTGGAAAAGCATGATGTTTCCATGCCTGGAGGAAGGCGGGACAGTGGTTATATGTTTTCATGGGGAAAAACATGTTAATGAGGTCCCAACTGAGTAAGATATGTTAATGAGATATTGATGCATGCAATATTGACCTAGTAGAGCTTGCTAATGAGACATCGACCACATGGCTGCAAGTGCTGGGGAGTTGCAGTGGGAGGCCACAGTCATGCCAGGTTCTGGGCATCCACTGATGCTCCCCATATGTTGATTGTTTTTAACATGAGGCACCATGGTGGTTGTTCAGGCATGGATAAGGCCAGGAAACCTCTTACCCGCAAGTGAAGCTGTGCAGAGTTTTCTTGCTCCTTTATTGCTGAGATCCATTAAACAAACCGTGTTAAACTGGAGAAAGGGACAGAATTACCTTTGGGGACTCCAGAGGCTCCACAGGGCTGCAAAATCAGAAAGTACTGCCCATGATATAGATGTTTGCCTATGTGACATTTGAGTGCCTTCATTCTGTGTGTCTTGATACACAATGATAAACTGATCACATAAGAAAAAAAAGATCATAAAAAAACTGCAACGACGTCCAGTTAGCATGCAGGTGCTCAACATTACTAGTCTTGCCTTCCAGAGCACTGTGTGGTGACCCACCACAGGAAGTTTTAATGACAAATGAGTATTTCTTTCTCCAGTAGTTCTGCAGCCAGTGGTAGTTGTGTTGAATTTCTCACTATTGAAGAAGACAGTTGTGGGGGCAGGATTGTTACCTTGAAGATCTGCAGTAAAAAACTGAGGTGGAAATCCTTGAGCCCTCAGTAGGGCTGAGAATGACACTTCACTGGCACCAGAGCACCTGAAAATTTTCCACAAGGCAAGGCCACCTCCAGACGCAAAGAAAGTCTCCATAGCAGAAAATGCAGATCTGAGGGTGCTTGTGGAGGGATGACCAGAGCTGGCTCAGCAATTTTGCCATGAAAGTAGAGCTGTAAATCAAGACAGTCATTGGAGGGGTAGAAGAGGGTAAAGCCCAGCAAGAAAAGAAGTGCCCAGCATTGCTCAAGGAGCAGGCAAAAGCTGACAACCTAGAGGCTGGATCCAGGTTGATGCATCCAGTCAGGCTCTTCTTCTGCATGCTTACAAGAGGGAGATTCAGACTGCAACATCTGAAAAAAGCCTTTCCCCTAAAATGTTGCAGTCAGAACAAGTCTAGTAAGTTTGAGAGAGAAAGAAGAGTTAGAAATTAACACAAGTGAAGGTTAGAAATGAAAACCCTATGACCCCAGAGCCAGTTGTTGTCTGGGATAAGAGCATTCCCAGCATCCTAATCAGGGAGAAGAGAGAGCAATGAAACCCCAGGAGGTGTTCAGAATATACACATATTGTGCAAACACACCCAGAAAACAGAGCCACTTCTGTCCATTAAGTTTATTTCTTTGTTCTGCAGAGTGTCCCTACCACAAGCCCCTGGGCTTTGAGTCTGGTGCCGTCACCCCAGATCAGATCAGCTGCTCCAACCCTGAGCAGTACACGGGCTGGTACTCCTCCTGGACAGCCAACAAGGCCCGCCTCAATGGCCAAGGCTTTGGGTGAGTTCAAAAATGCCTCCCTGAGGGGTCCTGGGGGCTGTGGGTGTGTGGGCTGGGGAGCCCTGGCCGTGTGGGGGCAGGAGGGTCTGCCTGGGAGGGCATCGTGGAAGGCAGAACGGGGCTGGTGCTGTCCCCCCAGGTGTGCGTGGCTCTCCAAATACCAGGACACTGCACAGTGGCTGCAGATCGACCTGAAGGAGGTGAAGGTGATTTCGGGGATCCTCACACAAGGGCGCTGTGATGCTGATGAGTGGATGACCAAGTACAGCGTACAGTACCGCACCGACGAAAACCTCAACTGGGTGTACTACAAGGACCAGACTGGGAACAACCGGGTCAGTGACCTCTGCCCTGGGGCCACTGCTGGCAGGGTGGCATGTTTGGTGACAACAGGTCTCAGAGGAAGGTGCATCAAAAGGGGGATGCTGTGGGAGCAGCAGGGTGGATGGGTCTCAGTGCTCACTCTGCATCAGGGAGCAGCACAGAGAGGGGCCATTCCCCCTGAGGTGAAAGTGTGTCATGCTGACCAGTGCAGAAGGACAAAATACATTATTTGTGTTTTCCAATGATCATACTGGAGTCCAGATTAAGCTCAGAGGCATTAGCTGGCATTCCAGAGAAGGCAGCACCTCCATGATAAAACCCCTTTCTCAGCTGTGGCCACACAACCCCAGCCATGCTTTGGCAGCGCACAGGAATTTCTTTTATTACCATGTCCAGTGATAATGTGTCATCCTGGTGCAGAAGAACCCCTCAGTCAAAATCTGCAACTAGTAAAGTTATAACCACCATACCATTTTCATGCTGCACTTCTTACTGGTTGACTTGAAACAAAAAATTGCATTGGGGAGATATTACAGTGTTGCCTCTGATCCCTGTGCAGTCCAGCTGGGGTGGGGATGCCACAGCTCCTGCCTCCCAGGTGTCCTCAATGCCCATCTGTGGGAATGGCCCTGTCCTAGCATAGGAGGCTCTGATGGCTTTGCTGAACTTCCTGCAGCCCTGAGGAGATGCTCAGTTTTCCCAAAAAAATCAGGTCATGGCAGCAGATGTGACATCCAGGCCAAGGAAAGGGGAAAGGGCCCTGAAATATATTTTTTTTGTCTATACTGGCTTGTGTTGGAGCCTGGCTCATGAACTTCAAAGAGCCAAAGTCAACAATGTTCACTCCAAAAAAGCAGTACCTTGGTACAAGAATGCAAATGAGAGAGAATGGTATGAGAATGGGGTGAGATTTTCTGGCCTAACCATAAATAGTGCAAGACTGATGGGGGAAAATGGCCTACTTAGAAAACTGAATCAGTGTGACAAAAATTGACTACATCTGGCTATTTTTAAAGTCTTGTGTTTTGAGGATGGAGGGGAAGGAGCAGGAAGGGGAAGGAGCCTCCTTCTCCTCTGCTCTGCGCAGGCACCCCAAACTCACGGGACAGGATTTTCAGCCCCCTAACTACCCACCCACCCCTCCCTTCACAGGTTTTCTACGGCAACTCCGATCGCTCGTCCTCGGTGCAGAACCTGCTGCGGCCGCCCATCGTGGCCCGCTACATCCGCCTGATCCCGCTGGGCTGGCACGTGCGCATCGCCATCCGCATGGAGCTCCTCGAGTGCCTGGCCAAGTGCGGCTGAGCGCCGTGCCCGGAGCGGCCCCCGGGGCCTGCGCGGCCGCCCCGCCTGCGAGGGAACGGCTGTCTTGAATAAAATGTTACTTCACACCATGCCTGGGGTACAGCTGCTGGGGGATTGGGGGACACACACTGGGGAAGAGGAAGGTTCGGGGCCATGGATCCTGTGAAATGCTTCTGGCCCTGGGTTGGGGAAATGATCACGACAATGTGCTGTGAACACTGAAATGCAGATGGGGTCCAAAGGCCGGGCTCGGATTCTCTTCAGGAGGACAGATGTATGCCAGGACAGACATCTCATGGCCTGAGACAGGGCTGAGGCCAGACCTGGCTTGTCCCTGGTACGAGGGCTCCCATCTGAATCTCACACTCTCCAATCACCTCGTGTTTGCTTCTATCAGGAAACCTCTGGCCTGAGCTGCTGGGGCTGGTTTTGGGACAGATATCAGTGCCTTGAGCACCAGGTGGATAAACATTCTCTGTATCCTCTCTGGTTTTGCACTGACACATCTCGGGGACCCCAGCACTTTGCTCCCTGTGGAGGTTTGGGCACAGATACAGGGACTCACTCTTCTTAACTGTTTGATCTCCATGGCCCGATCTCTAGTGTGAGTTTAGAACCCAAAGAATTTGGGACATGTGGATGATGGACCCATCTTCCTGGGGTGACAGCCCAATTCCTAAGGTTCATGTCCCTGCCTCAGCCCAGGAACCGATGCCTAACACAGCCTAGGTGGGAACTGCAGCCCCCACAGCTCCCATGAGGGAGGGCTGTGGGGAGCTCTGGAGTGATGGCTTTGGTTTGCCTTCCCACACACCTGCAGCACAAACCTGGCAGGCACTAGAGGCCTTTTCCCTATTTTCTAACAATATGTGCATCCATCCCAAAGAGTCACAGCATCAGAACCTGAACTGTCTCAGGGAAGAGAGGACAGGCATGAAGACAGTGGCACTGAGGCAGCCTGTCTGCCTCTCCTGTCCTCTCCTTATCCCTATGGGCAGAGAGGTGAATGCTCGGTGTGCAGAGCAGGAGTACAGATATGACTAAAACCAAATGGGATGTTACCAAAACCATGAGAAATGCCTTTGGATGGCTGTGCAATTCATCACATTCATTTGTGAGAGCAGATGTTTCTGCCTTGTTTTATTCCTGTATGTAGAGACAAATAGCTGCCAAGGAAATAAGCTCTTCTGGCAAGTCTGAAAGCTGCTCTGCTAACCAACAGTACGAAGTCTACAGAGATGTAGAAAAGACCAATTCCCATCTGCTGAGATGACTGCAATACACCAGTACTCCCTTGCTTCCCTCCTACCTCCTCATCCATGGATAGGATTTTTGCCTATCCACAAATTGGTCTAGGGACACATTTTCTTAGTAAGAAATCACTGTGTGCTTCTCTTAATGGTGAACAGTCAAGGCAAGCTCTACTAAGAAGACCCACTGAGTTTGAGGCACTTCCTCAGCAGCCAAGCTGTGGGACCAGCATGGTATAGCAGCCTCCCTGGAGGCACTGCACTTCCAGCACGAGGGAGACAAGGGCTCCCCAGCAGCCATCACAGCTCTTGTCTTGCTAGCACTGAAAGCAGAAGCATTTCCAGGTCCTGGATGCAGTTGCCAACAAATTAACACACAGCTCTCCCTGCCCTAAAAGCAGCACAGGCAGCTCTGCTCCATGTCCTGATGGATGGTAATGGGGGAAGGAGCCTTGGTGTTGATGTTTTGCTGCACAACTGAGGAGTGCAGGGGGGAGCACGAGGGACAGAAGGGTGAACTGGGCACAAGCTGGTGAATATTTGTATCACCCCAAAGCAGTTAAGCTTGACTGTAGCTAGTCAAAGCCTTGTCTGTGACTGGCCTCTGACAAGTTCCTATGCACAGTCCAGGCTTTTTCAGTTGTCTGGTTTTGGAAATGCACCCAGTGGCAAAGGCCAGAATCTCCTGTGCTGTGAGGTTTGGAAGAGCTGGCAGGCTTAATGCACAGCCTGAATGGATGGACCACACACCATTATACACCAAGGCACCACACTAAATTATGTATCTTCACATGACTGATCCTACATAAAGAATATTATTATATTGGAGGAAGAAAATACTTTCTAGGTAGAAAGGACCTGTGCTATCACTCTTCCAGCCTCCCATCTTCAAAGAAATCACTAGACCTTTTTCTAGATTGAAATGTATGTTAATACATAAGATGGAACACAATGCATTTCACAGTTCATTTACCTTTTGCCTTGCCCTGTCCTTTATCTGCAATTCACCTCTCCAGCTTGCATGAGGAAGGGACCTACTTCTGACTTGCAACTAAATGGTTCCTGCTAAAGCAGGAGTTTCTGTTCTGATCCTTGCTATGCAGCTCACTTGCTAATTGACCTCTAGAAATTCACTTAACCTCTGCCTCTTATATAAGGAGTGCTGAGAGGCTTAATTAATTAAGTGGTCCTAAAATGTTTTTAGAATTGCATTTGACTTCCACTTCTGCATAAATTCAGCATGTTGGAGTAACAGTGTGATTGAGGCCATCATGAAAGTGAGACAGCACCAGCTGAAGTATAATTACATAAATACAAAAGCTTTTCCTCTTAATCATAGAATCACAGAATGGTTTGGATTTGAAGAAACCTTGAAGATCATTTAGCTCCTATCTCCCTGCCACGGGCAGGGCCATCACCCACTAGAACAGGTTTCTCAGAGCCCCATCCAACCTGGCCTTGAACACCTCCAGGGATGGGGAGCCCACAGCTTCTCTGGGCACTCACCACCCTCACAGTAAAGAATTTCTTCCTAATATCTAATCTAAACCTGTCCCCCTTTAGCTTGGAGACAATCCCCCTTGTCCTATAACTATATGTGCTTCTAAAAGTCCCTCTCCAGCTCTACTGCAGCCTCCTTTAGGTACTGGAAGGTGCTATAAGGTCTCACCAGGGCCTTCTCTTCCAGGCCCAAATCTCTCAGCCTGTTTTCATAGGAGAGGTGTGCCAGCCCTTTGAACAAATCAGTGACACTCCTCTGGACATGCTCTAATAGGTTCCCATCTTTCTTGCATTGGGGTCCTAGAGTTGGACACAGCACTCTAGGTGGAACCTCACTAGGGCAGAGCAGAGCAGAGGGAGAGAATCCCCTCCCATACTGCTGCCCATACTGCTTTTGATACAGTCCAGGATACTCAATCAGCCTTCTGTGCTGGAGGTGCACTTTGTCATCTTGTTCTGGACTTTTCGTCCACCAGCAGCCCCAAGTCCTTCTCCTCAGGAGTGCTCTTGATCTGTTCCTCCTCCAATCTCTAGTTCTGCATGTGACTTTCTCGACCCACATGCAGGATCTTGCACTTGGCTTTGTTGAACTTCATGAGGTTTGCATAGGCCCAGCTCTCAAGCCTGCCCAGCTCCCTCTGGATGGGTTCCCTTCCCTCCAGTGTGTCAACTGCACAACAGGGGTTGGCGACAGTGCCCTCAATCCCACTCAATGTCCATGCTGCTGACAAAGATGTTAAACAATCCTGCAGGTCTTTACCTGCAGAGATAGGGAGACCAATGTATGGCTTTGCAACTGCATAGAACACAAGGGGTTTGAAAAAGGAAGTAGGACCAAGAACTGCTTTCAGCTTTATCACCTGGATTTTTAGGATGGAATGCATAGAGAGAAGTGAGGGAAAAAACGCTGCTGAGAAGTTTGTACCCAGTCTAAGTTACCTGATCAGAGACTGCCTCAGGCCTCCAGACCAGCCACTTCATTTGCAAGTCAACAGCCCCTTTATCTTAATGGGTACATGCAGGAATTATCCCTTCACTTCCACCCAGAGAAAAATATCCACTCTGCCCTCCATTCCATGGGGGCCTAATCCTGACTACACTGGGGATACCACATCAAAGTGCTCAACCTCTTCAAGGAGATGGCCACTCTAGTTTCTGGGGCTCTGCAGGGGGTACAGAAAAGGGGTTACTAAAACGAGATTGTTGGAAGAGTAAGAGCCAAATAAGGTTTTAAGAGTAAAGCCAAGTCCTCCAGAGTGCTGGGGCACCTCAAGGAAATACATTTCAACCCCATTTCTAGATAGAAATGTTGAAATGCTTGTCCTGGTGGAAACTGAAGCCATTTGCTCAGGGTAGAAGTTTCCCTCCTGGGGAGGTGATGGGCACAGCTCAGTCAGGCACGGGGAGCAGCCTGGTCTCACCAAGGCTGTGGCTGCTGCACAAGCCATCAGGCAGCTGTTTTGGAGGGACCTAACAGACTGCAAGTCCTGGCTTTCAGCAAGTCTTGCTGGAGCTCAGAGGGAAAGAAGAGAGGCCCAGGAAAAGTGGTCACTACTCCTCAGTTTGTTTCCAATTATTGCAAAGAATGAGACTAGCAGGGAAATATTTAAAGTTTTTTTTTAAAGCTGCACACAGTAAGAAAAAAACTCATAGCCAGGATACATTAAAAAGGAAGCAATCAAAAACTCTTATTACTGACACCTCTACACTTGCTTAGAAGTGTCTCAGTTTACATGTGACAATGATCAAATGCCATTATGACACTTTTCCTGCGGTGAAGACTGTGGGCTGGAAGCTTTCAGGGCCTTTTAATTTCTGGTAGTGCCTGCTGAGGGGCTTGGTGGATTGATACTTTTCAAAAGAGAGAACAGCAGAGATTCTTGCCCTGAAAGGAAGAATCTGTCCTGCAATGAGACTAGAGGAATGGTGGGCAACAAAGTCCTTCTGAGATGTTGCCCTGTGGAAGCATCCCATGGAAACATCAGGCTTGTGGACAGATGCAAGCGGCCTCTCAGATGGGGGAGTCAGCCTGGACCTGGCAGTGACCCACTGGGCACAGGAGTCCTGGTTCTGGTCCATTCCACTCATCTGAGCCAAGCTAACATATGGAGAGGTGCTCTGGAAGAGATGTATCAGGAATAAGATCAGCTGTTGAACAATGCCAGTGTTCTAGTGCAAAATTTGCATTTTTATTAAAGACATATTTTGGAAGGCCCATTCAAAAATACATTGTGCTCAGTAAAAATTAACCATTTCCATGCTGATAATTAAGGTTACCACAGGATTTTTTTTTCTCTTTTAGAATATTTACAGCAACAATAGAAATTGTACAGAAGTAAAGAATGGAATACATGCTCAAAAAAAATTTGGTAAGGTGTACCAACAACATGATACAAAGGGTTGTATACAAACACTTTACAAATGGTTTATTAACTTGCATGAAGTCATCCCTACATATTCAACACATTTTAAAATCAATTTGTATTCCAGGATTAAAAAGGCTAACACCACAACATATCCCTTCCACAACAGAAAGCACGGTAGATTTAAAAGTTTGTGCGCTTTAGATTTCTAGTAGCTGTTAAAAAACATCAGGGAATCTTATCCATAAATTTAGAAGTTTTGAAAGCTGCCTCCCCAGCCTGTTAATCTGCACTGGCAGATAGTGAAAAAAAAAAATTCCTAAACTTCATTTTTCCTTCTCTCTTCCAAATGACACAAATTTAAAATTAAACATTCCACAGTGGAGACCTAAGCAGTCCTGGAATTCCTTACAGATTAACCAGATTTTAAAAAGCCTGATAGAATTTCCAACAAAATTATGGTTTCTGGGACGATTTTAGCTTATTGTTCCATATAACCCAAACATAAAGTTACTTCTTTCAATTAGTCATATCCTTCAGTAGTATGAGTCTAAGATGCGCATTAGCAAAAAAAAAAAAAAAAAGAAAGAAAAGTCGAGACAGTTCCCTATGCTTAATGTTTTGCCTTGTAACTAAAGAGTTAAAAGCTCTGCCACTGGATTTACATGTCAGGAGTTTACACCAAGAGGTTCATATCCCATAGGAAAATTGAACAGCGGCTTCCACCTTGTGCTATGAACATGCTTTATCTTTATGCTAAGGAAAGCTCTACAACAGCAGCTACTTCACAACGCATTTCCACGTCTGTACAATGAAGATGCCACCTTGCATTTCTCAGAACAGATCCAGAGAAACAATGCCCTGTGAAAACAGAGACCTGGTGGAACGAAAAGCCTGGTAGGCAGCGTGTTCTGGTGGGGGCACAATGAGGTAAGGTATCTCACCCAGATGAAATGGAAAATTAAAATGAAGGAAATCCTGAGCAAGTCTAAGGATAGCTGTTTGAGTAAAACAGCAAACAGGGTGGAGTAGTAGATAAGGCCTCTAACTCCCTGAAAATCTGCACTAGAGAAACAACAAAGAACAAGGCAACTGCAATATTTGAGAACCACGAGGGGAAGGCCAAGGGAAGACCTGCAAAGCAGTGCAAAGGATGGTATTGGGATTCTAGAGGGAGAGCTCAGATGGCTTGGAGGTTTCAGAAGTATTTCAGATGAAGGCCCAACAATATTTTATTACATGGTTGCTAACAGTACCTGGAGGAACAATCTTTTTAGATGTCTTTTCAAAATTTGGAGTCAATAATAAGCTCAGAATAAAGAAACCCAACCTCAATCACATTCTGCAAGAGAGAGGAGGTAGATTGACTTGCAGAGAAGACAAGAGATGTGTCATCATTCTTAGGCTAAGATACAAATTCCATGTTCAGGCTCTTGGGCCATGTTTCAAGAGTCACTTCTGCCCAGCTGCATATTTTGTTATGTTCTAAATGAGCCTGAGAAGCAATCTGATTTGGTGGAATGAAAGCATCCAAACATAGTGGGGCCAGTCCTCTCACACTTTGTATGCATCTTCCACTGAGTAGGTCAAACCCCAGCCTTTGCATCAAACAACTGGCTGCATACAAGGTCACAAATCTGTATCAAAGCAGAACTCAGAACAAGTAAAATTCAGATCGAATCCATCAGATTTACCATGCTGTCTCATGTAGTAGCTGTTAAAAAGTCTACTGAGAGAACAGATGACCTCACACATCTTTTTTTCTTACAATCAAAAGAGGATCTCCTATAAAATCTGCTTTGCTAATTTTAATGAAATTTGCTTTGTGATTGCAAAATGAGGAATCTTCTGTTTTAGTACAACATTCAGTACAGCACAAACCTTCACTTGCTTGATGATTAATGCACTGCTGCTGCTTAACCATTTGAAAAAGGTGCCAACACCTAGAACTTCCAAGCTTTTTATATTCGAAGGGTTTACTCAAATCACCCCCTTTTAAAAAAAGGCCAGAAGTTAAATGGCTTTTTTCCTCATTCACTACAAACCCAGTTAATATCATACCACTAAAAGAGCTGTGTAGGGAAAGGCACCTGTTCTTAAATAGTGTCCTGATTTGAAAGTTATTCAAAAATGGTTACATAGGGCACATCACCTTTCCAACCATCTTCTGTGGCACTCCTGTTTCAAATGGTGGGCCTATTAACATGAACAACAGCCTAGATGCATGGTTTGTGATATTACCCTATTAACAGATGTATGTATGCTAGCAGGAATGGAAAATATAAACATTCATTGCCACCCCACAATTTGTAGTATATCATATATGGCTATCCTTCTAAAACTCTTTGTGTGACTGGGATGCAAATATTCTCCCAGTTCTACTCTGACAGTGATCAACACATACAGAATTAGTTACATGCAAGTATTCTGAAGCATGTCTCAATATCAAATCGTTACAAGACAACAAAAAAAATGAAGCATGAATAAAACTCCTAATACTTTTAGAGCTCCTCTTTAAAGTGGCCAGGTTTTGCCTTAGCTATCTACATCACAACTGTGCTTACAGGGCTGTATAATCTATATTCCAATAGGTTACCTGTGTTCTTATAGGGAGATCTACAGAATTGTTGAGAATACATAGCTTTTTTTGGGTGAACCCAGGCGTCTACTCAGTTAACACCTCATCAGCTTTTGAAGAAAAAAAGAAAAGGTTGGTATGTAGCTTTTTAAACAAGTGACATTCATCTCCTAAGAGATCTAACAGTAATGACAAGGAAGGTGAAGAGCCTACCACAGACCACTGCTTCCTGAAGAGTCACTCCAGCCCTGGTCCCAGAAACAAGCTGGTGTGGTAGAGAGGAAGGTGACAAGCCAAATGACAACCTAAGGATGTATCATGCACTTAGAAGTTTGAAGCCTGCTTTAAAATTGATCTAAAAGTTGTGTTTGGGGAATGTTTTAAGAGACGAATCTGGAATCATTGACTTCCTGCCAAGAACTCTGCCCAGTGCTCTCCCAGCAACCTCTCAGGGGGGCAACGAAGCTTGTACTGCAATAAATGGAGCAAGAAGTGTTAAATAGGTCAAAGGGACTGCTCTCTGTGGCCAGGTCTGTTGATCATAGATGTTGTTCTAGGTTAATATATTTGCATGGCAGTTTAAAACGACAGCTTAGACACTTACACTTAGGATGAGCTTAAGGTGCTTTTTTTTCAGTTAAAAAAGCTCAAGATCTGTAACAAAAACATATAGGCAAGTTTAGACAGCTTGAGTTCTGCAAAATGAGTACAAGTAATTTCTGAAACTTAGTTTCTCTTTCTATTCACATCATCAGTGATGCCATAAGGCAAAAGATTGCCAAAGAATAAAATGGATTTTAACTAGGATCCTTTATACTAAATAAATCTATAGAGCATGTAGTACAGGACTCACAGACCAGTGAAAAGGAAAGCTCACACTTACAAAATAGTTTTCTCTGTAATTCTCTTCCTCTTTATTAAGTCAGAAAATCTCAGTCACTATAATAAGACTCCTTTGAAAACCTCGACAAAATCACATTAGCCATATTCTAAATATTGGGAAGATAGACCAAGTTAAAAATACACAAGTCATCCCAGCACCAGCTGGCCGAGCTGCTGGAATTTCTTTCCAACAGGAGAAAGAAAATACTACATACATTCAACACAATTTAGTATTCAACTGAAAGCTACTACAGTTTGTTGAGTTCAAGAGGAAAATGCAGTATGAAGTAGAAACAAGTTTCTGTAAATATGGGCCACCAAATACTCAAACATTCCTCGGGTCACCTTTGAAGATTTGCTAACTACTTTAAACAGCTATATGTACAGTCAGGGATTACCCTGATTTAACTTAATGGATTCAGAGAAAAAAATCCTTTTGAAACATTTTTCCTTGCTAGAAATCATAACAACCACATATTGCCCAGTATCATCATCCCCAGCATGAAGATCTTCCCAGCAAGCTAAAAACCTTGCAGAGGCCAAAGGACACATATCCACAAAGCACAGGAGAGTCTAGACTGAAGATTCCCTGTGAGACTGAATGCAGAATCATCAAGGTTGGAAGAAACCTTTAGGATCGTCCAGACCAACCATCAACCACCCCAGTCACCCCTACACCACATCCCCAAGTGCCATATCCAGATGCCTCTCAAACACTCTCAGAGCCGGTGACTGCACCATGTCCTCGGACAACTTATTCAAATGCCTGAACATTCTTTCAGTGATCTTTTTTCCTCTAATATTTAATTTGAACCTCTCCTGGCACATCCTTTCACTTAAGACATGGGAGAAGAAGCTGACCCCCACCTGGCTACACCCTCCTTTCAGGTGGTTGTAGAGAGCAATGAGGTCCCTCCTGAGATTCCTTTTTCCAGACTAAACAACCCCAGCTCCCTCAGACACTCTCACGAGACTTGTGCTCCAGGCCCTTCATCAGCTCTGTTGTCCTAAAAGAGACATTCAAACTGCACTGCTTAGAGCCCCACTCTCTCAGGGTGAAGGATTTCAGTGGCAACAGCCCGTTTCAAAGCAGGGCTAACAGGGCTCATGTAGCTGAGACCAAGCAACGAATCTAACAGAGACTGCTAAAATAAGCTGCTAAACTCTGACAGTGATGACAAATAAATACCACAATATCTTTCCTGGATGCCCACTGAACTTAGAAAAAAACTGAATACCCTTTCATGTCTATTTATATATGCTATATATATGATATACCAATACAGTATATATCATATATAGAGAGATATTATATATCATATCTATCTATAGAAAAATCACATGCACATTTCTTGCAGGCAATTGACAAAGGAAGAATTCCTATTCTGTAATTTTTCAAATTTAGTAGACTTATTTTTAGTCCTGGACAAAACTGATATAACATCCTTCCACACTGTTCTTTCTAACAACAATTCTTATAGTAGTGGTGCCGAATTTGCTGTTGTTAAAACTTTGGTATGACTCGAGGTACTGAACAGCATGTCCAGTTTGCATTGCTATCCAAGTCAAAAGTTCAGCTTTTACTGCCTGGCTGCTTCTGTTAACTACATCTATGGCTAAATCATCCAATTTACATTCAGGTTAATCTCTTTTTGGAAAAAGACATTGTATTTGTAAGTACAGGTGTCTTATGAGGACAGCATCTAGAAAACAAACTATGCTGCAGAGTAATGAGGGACTAGAACTAATGTGTTTAAAAAGGAAAGATTGTATTGTTCTGACACTACAGGCCTGGCTCTCCTCTTATTGCACAAAGTTTAGACTGGCATAACTCTTTTGACCCCTACTGGCTCACCTTTGATTTACTTGTGTATTTGCTACACTTGACATTCACCAAGGCAAAGGCAGTTTTAACTATGTTGTACAGGAGACTGGAACCCAAGATCTAGTATTTTGCTGAGACTGGTAGCTGAACTGGGTATGGGAATATTTGGACAGTAAGACCTAAGGAGAAATCAAGTTGCATGGCAACCTTCTCCCTCAATATCCAAATATCAGAATTGTAGCTTTAAATACATCCTGAAATACAATAAAAAGTGCAAGAGTAGTTTGAATTCTAATACAGTGTTTATCTTATTAGTTAATAGATTGCTAGAGATGTAAAATACACATATGCATAAAAAGCTTATATCATGATCTGCAGTGCCATGCTATGCTTAAGTGTCGAAGTTTTGCATTTCACTTGCAATTCATGCTGTGTCTTTGGTTTTCACCCCTGCTATTAAGTGGAAGAGCACCTGCTTTTGCTTGTAGTCATGGGGCACTTTATCTCTCTGGAAGAAACAAAAATTTGGTACTGGGGCTCTGTGCTCTTGATGCAGAAATCCCATTAATATTACTAGGAAAGCTAAGGAGACAGGGGAGAACATACCACATTTAGATTACTGTACAGTTCTGCAGTCTCTTACATTTAGCCAATATTTCCAACCAAATATCCCATAATAAAGCTTGGAATCAAATGTTGTCTTTTGTTTGTTACCTGTAATGCCTACAATACTGGGATCTCATAGCCAAGCAAGATTCATACTGTTACAGTCACGTTTATATCCACATTCAACTTCCTTTTATTAGAAGTATAATACTGCACTTTATATCACAAATGTATAAAAAATATGGCAGATAGTGTCATAACAATACTTTTCTTTTAAATGAGTATATTTAAAAAACAGACAGTTATTTTCCATTTATATATATATTTTTATATAGAATAAAATACTCCTGATGCAATATATAAATGTTACTGTTAGTTTTTTATAGAAACTACTGTAGCTGTTGCACTGCTTCACAATGTTTCAAACAGCTCAAAATAACTTTACATTATAACATAAAAGATATGATTATAACAGTACGATATTAGGTCATCATAAATAAATATTACAAATCCTATCAAATATGGAAGTTTAAAAAACAAATTTAAGACATACAATTTAACTTTAAACCCTTAACGGGAATACACTTTTATCACATAAACCCCACTGTTTTAACTAGGCAGCAAAAAATGTAGTAAGGGCATAGGTCTAGACAATGTTTTCACCCTTTTAAGTGCCAATACATACCAGAAGTCTCCCAGCTTTCAGACAGAGATGTGCACTAAGCTGGAATGTAAATGAGAGAAAATGACAATGCATTTTTCTCCCTGACGGGCACACTCTGCCTGGCATCCAGTGACATTTCTGATGACTGGTAATTCATAGTTCCACTTGTGTTCCTGTATAATCCCTGACTCTCTCGTGGTGCCGAACAGCATAGCTCCACCTGTACATATTGCACACCTTTAGAAAGCTGGAAATGCAGTCTTACCATCACCAGAACCACCACCGCTCCCTAGGCTGCTCTCCCCCCACAGCGGGCTGTTTGCTGGAGCGCAGTTACAAGGCTGTCTCTTTGAGATCGTTCAGGTTTGGCATTCGCGAGCGGTTTGCTCGGCCGTAGGTGTGCCCGTTCTGTCCGCTCTTGGGAGGCAGCTGCTCCGAGTAGGGGGGCCCGTCGCTGACGCTCCTGCTGACGGGGGACACGTGCCAGGTGGGCTCCAGCTGGCCCGGCATCTGCAGCCCCGGCCGGCTCTTGGGCTGCGGCTCCGGCCGCACGCTGCTGCTGCCGCTGCTGGAGCTTTGGCTCATGGCATGGATCCGCACTTCGGGAAAAGAAGCTTTGGCTGGCTGGCTGGGTAAGGGCTGGAAGCGAGGCTCAGCGGCGACAGGATGGTTTGAGGAGAGGTGCAAGAGCTTCCGAAGAGATTTTAATGGCTGGCTCTGAAAGACACACAGAAAAGCTCCATCATATCAGACCTCCCATAAAAAAGCTGTCCTATCCTAAACTGAACACCTTGAACTTTACAGGACTTCTTCACTTTTACTTCTTATTTGTTTGATATATTTCATTCCAAGGTATGACTACACATTTGGGAAATATCTTCTTATCACAGTCCAATCTATTAGCTACCTGAAAAGATGGAACCTTTCTCCCTCAGTAAAAATTGCTCCCATCAATTATTTTATCCTTGTTTCCTTTGAAAATGCAGGCACAGACAATTGCATTAGCTGTCTGTCTGGCACTTTTCCTGCTATTAACTTAAGAACCTCAGCCACATTTTATAGGGAACAGATTTCAGAAATACAAGTTCTTAAAAACGTTGTAAGCATAAATTAGGGGTTAGAGTGAGTCTTGAGTAACCATCTGCACTGAAACAAGGTCTGGCAGAACTCAGAAATTACATATTTTGTTTGCTGGCAGCTGGGTGATAGGCAGCTCTAGTCTCTTGCAGCTTCTTTCACTGGTGAGCAGGTTGAAGGTAAATGGTGATATGGGGATACTGAAAATGGGCAGCAAGAGCCTGGGGAAGCCTGTGTACACAAAATGATATGAAAGCAGTCTCATTAAATGCCACAGCTCAAGGAGCAACTTGTTTCTTCTAACACTGCAGCTGCAACAAACCCTCTTTTCCAGTTACCAGTGTGACAACAATGGAGCATGGCACTGACACTGCCTCCCAAACGCTGCCCACTGAGCTGGTTCTAGAACTGGAGAAAATAAAGTTGTACTGTTGCAGTGCTATGCTCCAAAAATGTGGCCTGCTGAAACTGCAGTCTGTGCCAGCCACTGACTCTCAATGCTTTGATGACCACATCAAGTATCAAACTCTGCTGAGCAGCAGCCAACCCTCAGGATTCTCCATTCCTTATAGAGCTGACTTGAGGGTTTCTGCACAGCACTGCATCACTGCCATAGGTGTGCACTGAAACATTGCTTGCCTGTAATACAAAAACATAACCAGTATTTCAAAGGGCTCAAAGACCGACACAAGACCTTTAGTCTCTCTTTTCCTTGTCATTCATGTCCACATTTTTAAAAAATTATGCAGGACCTCAGGTACATGATTTTTTACATCTAGTGAGCAAGGAATTAGAAAGTTGGGAAACAATGTCAAATGCAATTCTTCTATTCAGAAGAAAAAGCTGTCAAGATACATCAGTGATACTAATATATAAGGGAATTGATAATGCCACTTACATGAGGCTGGATTTCTGTCATCTTCTCAGGATGCCAATCCTTCTGCCTGCTGCTCTGGTGATTGGAAGAATGAATGGCTTTCTGTAATGCCAAGAGATCCTGACCTTCAGTGTTAGGCATCTGCAACGAAATATTAAATACTGGTCTCCTAACACTTTCTTAAGAATAGCTGTAAATAATTTCCCACAGTTAATTACAGAACTCAAGTGAAGCCCATTACTGCAGCAGAATTGAATGACCTCTCAATAATCCTCCCCACAGTAAGAGCAAGTGGCTGTGGACATCATGCAGATTTGCTCTACCCTTAGCCCTTAAAGCATTCACATGCTGTTAGTGTTATTTGCTGTAAGAAAGAGCAGTTAAGGCCTCAAAAATAAAATTAAAACCAAAATATTGTTGAGCCTCATCTTCATTTAAAAAGCATTCCATACTGCAGTTAAGACCATGGATCAGTTCTATAAATTTGCTTCAGAGTGAAGCAGACTAAAATCCCTCTAAACTGATATCTTGAGTGACATCACAAAACCAAGAGCTTTCTCTATTCCCATCTTTCTTCTCCTCCACAAATATCCCAAAAGCAAAAATTAAGAAACAGGTGAAACTTTATGGCAGAAAGATAATTTAAAACTTACATGTATCTTTTAGTCTCATTTCAAGAATTCTAAGTAAAAAGAGGACAGTCAAAATAGAATCTATTTTTAATGCAAGCTGTCTTTTATCATGAACAACCAGGACAAACAAAAATACAATAGATGCATGAGCTAAAGTTCTTTCCAGATAATCTACTGTTAGTATTAAATTCATTTAAATTTACATATAAAGGAGTAGCTTCTATAAAATTATGTATTTACAATATAGTTATAAACCAAACCAGGTTAATTTTTTTCCTGAATGAAACATAACGAGACAGTTTAATTTTAAACATACACAATTTCACAACTATTTCCCTTCCTCAGTCTTACTCCCAAGGCTCATTCTCTCTGTGTATGTTACATTTTCACTATATCAAATACTAGAAAAAAAATTTTAGGCACAATCTTTCAACAAAACTGCCAATTTTACTTAAATTTATTGAACTGGCCCAAGATACTTAACTGGCATGAAGAGGAAGTGATACCATGAAAATAAACCACATGCTGCTGTAGTCAGTAAAACAAATTTACTGGAGCATTTTACAGTGTTACTGTACTTAAAAATTAATACCATTGGTAGAGTGACTACAGGAAGTTTTTTCAAAGAAGAACTATGCTTTAAATTATTCTTTGAATTAAAAAGAGGAAAGAGGGATTTCTTGATGCTTGGATTCTCGCCGTTGGTTGAGTCTGTCTGCAATATAAGACACAAAAACTAAATGCACAGTGTTTCAATTCAAGAGATCTGCTCCTTATTATGTTAACTCTTTTTCTTTCTTTTTTTCGATAATACATGTTATCAAGCCTATAATTTGCTTTTGGAAAATAAAATAATGATTGAAAAAAAACCTATGGAACAAATTCAAGGAACTTAATGCATAGAAAGCATGTAAAAAAAGATCAGCACATCTATTCTTATATCCATGTTCATTAGGACTACAGAATTTGTTTATTTCAAAGGCTTTTGGAAATAACTGGTAGCTCTTGTTGACTTTATTGAGCTTTGAATTAAATCCTGTAACTCTGGCAATCATTTGTATTTCTGATAATGACCTAAAGCAGTATGATATTTCTTATTTTTACATAAAGAAAATATTAAAGATACACTAACAATAACAGGAGTTGGTTTCAGAATGAGCAGTTGATAGTTACTCTATGAAAAAAAAGCATTCTATTTTTTAACTTGCAATAAGAGCTAAGGTTCCAAGATGAATAATAAATATGCCATTAGTAACTTCATGTATAGCTGCACGTACTCTGGCTGTTTTATTTTAATTTCTGCAGCACAACCAAAGAGCTTACCAGTGGATGCATGAACAACAGAACTATAAGGTACTAGAATTATAAATGGGTCTATTTCTCTCCTGCTCAGGTGCAAACAAGCATAGGGCACATATATTGTGCCTTGCACAATATATGATATATCAGAAGATACCTTTATTCTGCAATAGAATAATTGTATGACTAAATACAATGCCAAGTGCAGTACCAAAAGCAAGGGCTTTCAAACAGCTTTCTCAGCTTCTAGATTCCATCCAAGTTAATGAAAATCAATAATTACCATAGCTTATGTTTAGGAACTTTATGGTCAGAAGAATTTCCTGTTTAAAATTCAGTAAATTAAAGAGGAATGAAAGTCTTGCTAAGAGAAATGCTCACCTGCAACTGTTTTTTCCAAAGCAGATAATTTCTTCAGACCCATAGCTTGAAATAAGTGCCAAAATCTGCAAAACTTAGGCTCCTCTGAAGATAGTGCCTACTGACACCGTGCACAAGCCTCATGGATATCAAATTGTTTGGTGGCAGATGACATAAAACTGTGATTCTAACAATCCTCAAAACCTTGTGCTACATTACTAAAACACTTCAAACGATGAAAAGGAGAATGGATAAGAACAGCTCTGCAAAAACAATACTGCAAAGAATTCCCATAACAGGCAGTAACAATTGCTATCCCACGAGGTACTGCACCTGGAGAACTCTAGGAAGAATGATTTATGGGAACAACCTGCAGGAAGAAGTGTCAGGAACTGGGATCAATTCTAGGCTAGTAGATATTCTGAGAATGACATCACTAAGATATCTTCAATCCAATTTCAAGTATTTTTACGACTCCTGTGATGATAATCACCCAGCAAAATGAGACTTACCAAAGGATTATCAGAAGGAAATCATAGCTAGCTATTATGTGCTTACTAGCTCTGTGACAGTCCTCAGGTCCAGTTTGTTATTTCTTGCTGAAACTCTGTGTTTGAGTAAATAACTGGAATTTCGTACTTGTAGGACTCTATATGAATTCACCTTGACCCCAGATCTCAGAAAAAAACCTTGAGTAGTCACTTAAGCTGTCTATTAAGACTTTTAATAGGAGTTCATAGAAAACATTATATGTGTAGCTGAAGAGTTAATATTAGAATGCTGTGAACAGCTTTTACTACTAATGCCAAATCTGGTGCTGAATTTAAGGCAGTAATTTTATTTTGTGCTGGAAGATCCTAAAGACTGTCCCAACGTTTGTTAGGTAGATGTCTTCAACTAACAGATGAAGAAGAAAAAAGAACAGAAAAAAGAAAGGAGGTTTTTCCAGCTCTGGTTTGATCCAAAACTCAAGTTGATCTCAGAAAGTTTCTAGCTGAGGATGAAAAAGTTGCATCACTATATGATTTCACTAATTTATTTATCTTTCTGTGAGATACCAGCTCTAAGTGGCAAACAATTTTTTCCATTCTGTCTCCCTCTGTTCCCCTCTACCCCTCTTCTTAAGAGTGAGAAGAAACAGGAATAAGGATTATATATAAATCTGCCTTATCTTGTAATCAGCGATGGTTTTGGTAGCTATAGATCAAGGAGTTTTTGATTTAGGTGTTGTTTTTTAAAGTGCCAGATTTTGACAGGCAACACAATCCAGTATGTATTTCTTTCACACAATCTAATGTGGAGGTAATTAATACACCATACATAAGCTGAGCTATTGGAGTGTTGTCTGCCACCATGTCTGGATGGCTGGAATCAGAGTACAGCATAGCAACGTAAATTTAACACCTTTTTTTTTTTTTCTCCTTGAAAATGCATCACTGAAACCAATGGCCTTAGGTGTGTTATCCTTACATGGACATTTTGGTATCAAACAGTCCCAGAGCTATAATCTAGACATTTAATTAAGTTGCTTAATACAAATGGTCATATTTGAGCTGCATACAGGTATGAGGGTGAACAAGTTCAGAAGGAAAGGTGGATGCCACTGCTGTAAATCCGGCCCAGCAGGAAGGTGAGGTGCATTTTTGAGTGCTAGTTAATGCACATATGCACATGTCCCACATAGTTCTAAAAATTAAAAAAAACCCCCAAAACTACAAAAAAGCCTGATATTTTCTCCCAATTTTCAACAGATCAGCGCTCCACCAACACTCAGAGTCATATCACCTCCCTCCTTGACAGTAAATATTTTCATTACGTCACCACCCTTTGCACGATTTACTCAATTCTGAGAATCTTCAAAACTATACCTGCATTTACACTTACAGGAATATTACAGTTTTAAATATTTTAGTGTTTCCAGAGCTCTCATTTAAGAATGAGATTATGTTTAGGTTACTTCAGTTCAGTTCATAAAACTTTGTGAAATGTTGGTATACCACTACTTTCTGATGAAAGAAAGTGCTTTCTCTCTCTCAAAAAACTATATGAAAATGCAAAAATGTATGAAACACCAAAGTCTTATACTGAATAACAAAAGCCACAACAAAACATAAACCACTTATGAATGGTTAAGACACATTATCCTTATTCCAGTCATGGAATGCAGCAAGAAGCAGAGGCTGATACCAAGACACTTCCATGAAAAAGACTGGAAAGAATTCTCATTTCTAAGTCTCATTTTCTCTGTATGGGTGCCTGAAACTCTTCAAGCTTTGGGGACATGCAACAATGAATTTACTATTACTGGAATGGTATCACCATGTCCTAAAAAGAATTTGTTGCAACATCACCTTAAAACTTTCATCAAAATTGGCTTTCAAAGAGTCTGTATGAAAACAAAGGTGCACAGGACTAGTAAGTGAAGAAATATTGGAAAAGGCAGAAAAACCAACCCTGAACAGGAGAAGAATTTGACTTTCATGTAGTAAAGACAGAAAAGTGTACACACACACACACACACACACACAAAATCATAAATAATACAAAGGTACTGTACTAATCTAGCATATTGAAATGCTATAATTCAAAATGAATAAAAGAAATCTTCTATTAGAAATGCTGCATACTTACATTTTGAGATTTCTTCTTTTTCTTTTTTATTGCCCTGAAAAAACCTTGCTTTTCTTTCTCCTTGAGCTGTTCTGAGTGACTGTTAAGGTTTTCAGGACTTTTCCTAAATATGAAATAAGGTATTGTAAGAGAAATTTTATTATGGTATTACTTTGTAAATACTGTGGAATACTGAGATCTGATGCCAAAGAATGCAAATTATTGATTAAAGTAAAAAGATACTGAATGTTTTAGCATTCATTGGTTCCAGGGTACTACACAAATACCATATAGACTTATTACAAGGGATAGGAGGTACACAGTGTTAGGGTAAAATGATTAGTTTAAACCAATGAATAGTTATTTAAGGAAAAGGAAAGCATGCATGTGTTCTTTTAAGCCAGAATTTAATACTCAAACCAAAATATCACACACAAGGTCTTTTAGAAAAATGAAAAGCATATCTGAGAGAACATACAAATGGTGATGAGCTATAAAAGCACAGGTCCAGTTTATCCATTGCTTGCTGGAGAACCAGGAGTTGCAAAGTTGGCCAGAAAAAAACACTTTCAATTGCACTTCCTGACCCTTGCTGACATGGTTCCAAATTTATCATCGGGGAAGCTGGGGATGTACTGTTGTCCATTCCAACTTAAATCCTTCAATTAGTTTGTCATGCGTGAGTGAGACAGTGCTGGCAAAAGGAGGTGACCCAAAAATGGAAGAGGTGACTTGCCTGAAGACTGAATTTCTGCCTTTTAACTCTTAACTTACACATCTGAAGCAACTACAGCTGATAAAAAACATGTTACTTTCAATACACACAGTGAACCATGTAAGTAAACTACTTAAACGGGGTAAAAAGATGTTTTACAAGGACAGTGGTGAGACATAACTGAATGCAGTTCTGGTGCCCTTTAAAATAGCTTGAAAACTGAAAATGTTGCAGGGAAGCATCACAGAAATACTTTCAGAGATTTCAATCTCTTTAGTGTGTTTAAAAACACAGCCAAACCAGCCCAAATATTTAGTTTCCTTGATCATGATGCACAACTACTTATCCAGAAAGAAATTACAGAATACTAGAAAAATCTTTAACAGGGAAAGATATAACAAGAACAAATAGGTGGATGATGAAGCCTAAAAGTCATACTAGAAATAAGGCACTGATTTTCACAATAACATCATTAACTGCCAGACCAAACTCCTTAGTGAGGTTGATTTCCCATCCTTGACATTTCAAATCAGGACCTAATGCTCATCTGGGAGAAACATAGCCAAGAGGTCTGCCTCTGGGCCTGGATCCCAGAGCATGGGCAACATTCAATAGCAACTGACACACAGAAAGTCATATCAGGTCATTTAATAGCCCCTTTTCACACTTAAATCGCATGAAAAGAAATTATTCTATTGTCATTATGGAAAACTAAAGCAAAGGCACCGTTTTAAGGGTTCTGTACGACAAACAGGAGCAGCTTTTCTTGGAGTGACTGGAATGTAGCAACATTTAACTGTCTAATATAGTTGTCCCTGGCTTCTAATTCTGGCTTTAAATGCTATGCTATCAGCTGGTGATTCAGCTGCTACTACATGCCAGGCTGACTTTTTTTCCCAAATAAATGTGAAAAAGATAATTGGGGTAGAAATCACTGGAGTCATCCTCCTTGTTGATGAAACCATCTTCACTCTGGCAGGTGGTATCAGTTCCTCAATTTCTACACAAAACCACCTCGAGTTTGAAACGTTACCTAGCTCTAAGTATAAATGCATGCAGAATTTAAACTCTGTAATAAAGTGCAACTATTCATTAGGAGAATGGTCTTTGCAAAAATATTCATAGGCAGGAAGTATGGTAGAAATTTTCCTAATTTAGAATTTTGGGAACTTATCTTTAGATGCAGAAAATACATTCAGGTGCATGCCAATATATATTTAATGTGGATATTGCAACACTGCTACAGGGAAAAAACTCTGGTTTAATATCATTATTATATTTATAACACATATTTAAAATATACTGGATTGCTAAGGATTCCTGTTGCTGTCACATCCCTGTATTTGGTACTACTGTAAGTAGTGTGACAGGTGTAAGGCATTCTTAAAGCACCAAGGAGAAAGCCAGAGTAGAGGCTACTGATAGCTTTAGATTCAATGAACTCAGAATCTGACTTAACACAGACAGAACACTTGCTGAATTATTTACTAAATGATTTTTACTTGATTTGTTAGAAAAGTTGGAGGAAAGCACACACCCCAAGTATCCTGCTTGTACTCAGAAAGTCATGTAATTGGGGCTAAGAATCTTCTGAGCCTTTCCCCAAAGGAGCTCCTGTGCATCCACATCTGCAAGCATATCCCAGACCATAGCCCCACTGCAAAGTGCCAACCTGACGATGGTTGTCCACTGAGGAACCAGTGTCAGATTGTAAGCAAGACCCCAGGAGGTTACTTTACACTACCCTTCAAAATTTTTCAATGTCTTGCTATAGCTTTTCTATTACAAAGTCTGTTCCAAAATGGAGAGACTATATTTTAAAAGGTGAAGTTAATCTTCAGAGTGAAGATTGGAACAATTTATGCCATACTTTTAGACAGAAATTCACTCAAGTGTGATTCTTTTCTTTGGCCCAGTGAACCTGGATGAGAAAACTGTTCTCCACAGCAGCTGAGCAGAGAGGAGAGAAATGAAATTCTGCACCATCATTTCCTCTTTATGGCTACAGTGACCAGAGAGAATTGGAAAATAAGGGGCTGAGAACTGCTCATTTTCAATTGCAGCTTACCCAAAAGCCAGTGGTTTTATACTGAATGGTTTATGTCATTAACTCCTATGACTCATATTGCAGTACAGTTGTCTGAAAAAGCATTGACCTTGAAAAGCAAGTGCTTCAAAACACATGCTCATTATGTGAAGAGAGTGAACATATATAGCATTATAGCAGGAAGCTTCAACATTAGGATTTTGTACTGAGTAAAAATAGAGCAGAACATTTTGATCGATGATGAAACACTGGGATATTTTTGGCATCCCAAAAGATGATTTTCAGATAATGGACAGTACAGGAAAAAATTAGGATTATCAAAAAAATCTGTATGGTAGAGTCACACAACACTAAACTCTTACAACATGCTGTTCAAGTATCTTGGTATTTTGCAAAAGCTTCAGCTCTTGAAAGCAAACAGTTCCACCAGAAACTCTCATGTGCTGTTTTACTAGCAAGTAAGAGTAGCCCTAGAGAAGAGCCCCCACTCATTCCAGAGAGCTCATCCCAAACAGAAACCAAAGGCAAAATGTGCTGTGCTCTGTTATTTCATCTTTGTGTACCTTTTGCACCTTTTGCATGCTTAGGACATATAATGTAGAACACATTGGTTATTCTGGTCTGAAACACTTGGAAAAGGCCTAAGTACAAACAGAAATTTTGTGATTATCACTCTTATTTATTGCCCCTAGTAGGAAAGGTACCCAGCTTCATGCAGGTGCAATGAGGTGTAGCAGCAAACATGCATGTGGCAAGCAAGCTGATTTACATTCACTAAAAAGAAAAAAATAGGAAGCATGTTGCATTCATGCTGCCATCGAGAGATTCATATTGCAGACAGCTCCTTTTGGAAGGCAATTCCTCGTGCTTGTTTTAGTTATTCTACAGCAACCCTAATCTCAGCAGGCAGCCTGGCTTGGAAACCCTCATGTACTACTCCCTTTACTGATCCAATCACAATTACATGAGTAAGGTTTTTGTCTAATGAAGGAGTCACTGAAATAGCTGAACTTTTCTTTGGAAGATAAATGACAAACACCAATTCACCATGGTAGCTTTTGGTTTTACTCAAAGTAAGACCCTTGGGGCAGTTACACAGTTACCATTCAGCAAAAGCAAGAAAAGGTCAGAAACTAATGAAACAATTCAAATAGATAGTTTCAATCCCATAAGCTGAAGTCCACAGTAAAACTTCATGGTCTAAAAGTCTGGCATTGAAAGCTTAAAAATCAAAAGATCAAATCTGAACTCTGTTTGGAGCTGCAATTTTTTTATTTTTCATGTAGAAAATGAGGATTTGTTAATGGGAATAAGCCCCAGATTTATTATCTCATATACAGAATAAAATTCAGAATTTGCAATTTTCTGATTTTTTTTTTTTTAAATACCATTAAAGAACTGGAAAGTATTTATAATGCAGCAACATTCATGCTGCACACACAGCTGAAAAACTGCTCTAAACTAACTTGTTCAGATGCTGGTAATCTTTTCCTTTCAGGAATAGTAAGTGTGACTATAATGTTACACTGATACTGCCACAGCAATATGAAAGTCAGTCACGTCCTGTTTACAAAATACTGTATTGTTCTGGAACCTTGAAACTTAATAGTGGAAAAAGTTCTAAACCTTTTACTCTTAAAAGAGTGAGGGTTTTTTGTTCTTTTCTTGAATGACAGAGATTTTGTGTGTGTTTATATATAATATACATATAAAAATAGTAATATTATATGTATAGTTCCTGGTTTTTATTATTTTTGCAGAAATGTATGACATATGCCAGAGAAGATATTACAAGCTGCTTGTCACAGTATGACTACATTTGTATGGACATAAAAGGTCTAAACAAAAATGCTTTCCAGAATCCCCCAAATATCTTGTAAGTAATCAATGCAAACACTTCCAGTATGATGTGAGATAAATTACTGCATGTTGGAATTTATTCTAAAGAGATATTTAGAACTATGACAGTGGTAAAGATAACTCAGGCCCATGTTCTGGCACACTGGCAGAATACAATTAAGTATCTTGCCTATACCTACTGATTTTGCCCAGCTCAGGACAAAGCTTGTATGAGTAAAAGAGAATAAAACATCTATTCTTGTATCAATAAGAAAAAATTGAGCAAATTCAAGGTAATTTACAGGAAATTAAACACTAGCAAAGAAAAGATTTTCTGGAAGGATAAAAAAATTGCCTTTTTTCAAATCAAGTTGTCTGAAGTTCAGAAATGATCTAGTATTTTAAGAGTAAAATCTGATGACAAAAGTCAAGTTTATAACATCTTTATTTTAAAAGGCAGGACAGTGGGGACAGAGCGAAAAAATGCACACAAAGACAAGGGAACATCTGTGACAATTCAGTCTAGCAAACATTCACAGAATCTTTGACAGAAGAAAGGCAACACAGAGCAATAGTATGAGAAGCAATATTTTACAGTAGTGGCAAGTCCAGGTGGAATACATGTCACTCATAATTTGAGATGAATTGTCATATACCAGTTAGGTATGTCAGTCAAACATCAAATATTTACTTCATCATAAAATTGATGTAAGCAGAATCACATTCCATTAGAGCTTTCAACATTTTCATAAGCATTTACACAATTTCTATACAGAAAATTAAGTAGAGGAACACAGACTCTTCACCACTCAGGAATCTGATTAAGCTGCATTTATGGCACAGAACAATTTTGCAACAACATTAGACCATTGCCAGGACAACTTAAACAGAGTTAGCATGTAGAGCTGGGCAGGAAACATTTTGGGAAAATAGGGAGTAGGAAAAGAAAAGAGGAAGATAAGCATATGCCAAAATAGCAGTAACTTGGTGTTGCAGGTACTGCTATTTTTTCCATTTCATAAAAAGAAATGCTTATTCATCTGTGGGTTCTTCTCTCAGAGGAGCTGTTCCACTTTGTGAAAATATTTGAGTAATTTGGAGCAAGGTCTGAAATCTAACTGTCTCTAAGTTAATGAAGGGCCTTTTTCATAAGGCCATACCTCGTGGTCCTTTCACTGTTTTAACAAGATGAAACAGCTTCAAGACAATATACTGAGAGAACCAGACAATGTCCTTTAGAATAACCTCTAACTTCTGGTTTAGTGCATTCACTTGTTAGATCTAAGATCTTGGTTGAAGCCTCTGGTTTAAATAACAAAGACCCTGCACTCGAGTTCCTTGCATTCTAAAAAATAATGCTGCCTCCAAAATATTTGTTATTTTGAGAGTATCTCTGGTTTTGACTGGCAATTTCATCCTGGAGCTGAAGAATCTTCACAATGTAAGATTAGTGGGTATCAGCTAGTTCCTTTGAAAAGTTTTGGCTTTAGTATTTGGGCATTATAAACAAAACAAAACAAAAAACTTCATTAAAAAAATTCCCAACCAGCTCTAATAACATACGGTTTTTTTCAGTTCAGAGTTAGAATAACATTACATGTTTCTTTGCAGTCAAGACAATATATTGCTGAATGATATATAAAGCAAAACAAGAGTCCAGTTTTCTTATGTTATATGCAAGATAGAAAGATCCAGATAGGAAGGACAATGTAAAATGGTAAAAGGGTTCAACAGTAGGAGTAAATACCTTCTTTAGCCACTTAAGTCACAACACATGTACCACCTTTTTACATAAATGACCGGTTTCCTCAGCTAACTTCCAGAAAATGGATGAAGGTGGAGCTACTGAAGGACAGGAAGCAGACTCTAGTGAATCAGAGCAGGTGAGAAGGGTTCTGGAGTAAACATCTTCTATTACTGACATAGGTATAAAACCTGAATTTCACAAGCTGCAATACCAACTGTCCACCACCCACCACCCCCTTTTCTCTTTTAAGCACATAATTCACTGGTTATTTGTGTGAAAACACATCAAGTCAACAAACCACTGAAACAGTTTAGATAGCAGGACTTTATGGCCCTTTCAGAGAGAAGTGTTCCAGAGAGTGGTATAAAGCATAGTTGAACCATGCAAATGTATGCAGTCCATTCCTCCCACCAATCCTGTGAAGCTCCATCTGATTATTTTTATTCAAATGCTTTATTGTGATTTAACAAAGTATAAGATTTAGAGTATTTTAGAGCCAAACAGCTCTCAGAGAAACAAAATATTTCCCTTTAAGTCTTGCAAAGCTACGTATATGCTGTCATTTTATTAGCATAATTAAGGTGCTCTGTTATATAATGGAGCCATGTGATGCTTTTAATCTTTTAAAATCAATATACACCATTAAGATGTTGCTTAGTCCATTTTCCCATATAATGCATTCATTTCCTTCTGCATGTAAACAAAGAGAGCAGTGGTCCCCATTGTAGGGTGAAAACATTCTTCATTAATATAGTACTACTTTATATATGGAAACATGCATTTTGATATTTTTTCCACTTGTCTAACAATTCATGCTTCTGGAATCCACAAATTTCTACACACACAAGCACTTTGTACTATCTTTAACTAAAGATTAACAGCGGGGAAAAAAATTGTGAAGGATTGGACAGAAGTATATAAACTTTAATGCGTTCATGTTATGGGTGCAATGAAGGGTTTCTTGCTGCTCAAAAGGGGACAGAAAACATGCCATGCTATGCCAGTACAGCTGGAGGAAGCAACTAAGCACATGGACAATTGCAAATCTCGAGAAAAGCGTGAGGTTTTTTTTCCCTTCTTCTAAAACCACATTTTTTTCCTGCCATTCTCTACACGTGTGTGCAAATTTCAACTCACCAGGTGTCAAAGGTGGTTTGTCTCTTGGGGTGGTTTGTCACCGTGGTGCTGTCTGCTGGTAACACCGAGGCTCTGTTGGACACATTGTTTTCTATGTAGGTGCTCTCTGGACGCGGAGATGGAACTGAACAGAGAAACAACAAACAGTGTGCACAGAGCTCTGCCAAAAATCCCAGCTCCCACTCCTCTGCTTCCTCTCTGCTCTTACCATAACAAGAGAGCAAAGATACGGTTGTGTATTATGTAAAATTGAAAAAACAGCTGACTTTTGTGATACTTGCAGAGTAATACTGGTTGTAAAAGGAGACCATCATAAGAACTTGGGTAAATCGTTATTAGATTTGAGAACACTTCTATTTGTAGGGAGCTCTTAGTGTCATTGATATTTAAAAACAGGAAAGAGATTAAGAGGTTGGAATACTGTTACTAAAGACACAAAATACTATAGTTTACACTTCACTTTAGACCTTAACAAAAGTAGTACCTATCTTGGATTTTTTTTTTTTATTTTTAATGTAACTAAGAGATAACGCACTAAAATTTAAAACATTAAAATCAGATATTATGTATTTTTCAAACAGACATACTGTGCTTTTGAAAATACACAGCTATATACAGAGCTAGAATGTAAGTTTATTAGAATTATGAATATCACTAGAAATACCTGCACTGGATTAAAAATTGACCAGACACTGGTTGAAACATTAATGTAGCATCACATTACACAATGTATCAAAACAGCATCTGTAAGTTTTTCTTCAAGATGTAATACAAAAGTATATGCTAAGAAATACTCTTCTAATACAAAGGTTAAACATTATACAAATAAGGATTTACCTTTTTCACAGTAACTTGCATATACTATTACCACCAGTTTTTAAATCCCAGACCTATAGTTTCTTTAGCACATGACTTATGGAAAGCCATTCTTCTTTGAAAGTTTTGTTTCACTATGTATAAAAAAGAAGGATAATCCATATCCAGTTTTAGGAACTTTTTAGGGGTTAATGAAAGCAATTCAGGATTGAGAATTCTTAAGGATCTTCTGTTGCATTTGCAACAAAAACACACAAAAGTATTGCTCAAAACAGTACAGCTTTAGTTCTGCTTACAGGTTTTAATATTGCAGTGGGACACTCACACGGATTGTCAGATTTTAACGTGTCTAAATCAGGTCATCAGCCAACTGATCAACCTGAAGAGGATCAGAGGGAGATTTGTGACTCTACTTAGGCTTATTAGGTGACTCATAATCGAATTTCAGCTGACTGGGACTTCTTAAGGTTCAGGGGAGCCCCACAAGCCTCCTAATACTTGCAGGACAGTAATTAGTGTCTTACCATCTTTTTCAAAACAATTATCCAGGTTTAGCCATGAGGCAGCTGCTCAGAAATCTTTGTGTGCCATAATAGAACAGTATCTATTTGTGTGTATCCATACACAGACCTGTTTTATTGTTTACTCTGAGATGGAATTATGTAAGTGTGCTGCTGCTTGTAGGAAACCCTGATCATTAGTAAGTCTTAACAAAAGAAATGCCAGAGGTTTCAAGCCATGAAAAGCTAGCATTACATTTCCATGCAACACAGCATCTGAAACAGATCAGTATGGCTATGTGCTACAAGTGCATAGGTGTAAATAGAGTCTTTATAAGAATTGAAAAAAAAATTAAAAATATTAATTAACAGCTTACTTTGGTTATATTAGCTCATTTTCTTCATTTTGCCCTGATAAATTATATTCTATTATATTATATTTACAAGGTACTGCAGTGGATATAGTTTCCAACTAAAGTGAGCTATCATTTACAAATGAACAATACGGTACCAATGCAATTCCTGCAAACAACCTAGCAGGCAAACTCACCCTCTGAAAGTTAAGTAACAATTCTTTTTCTTACTTTTGTAGTTTTTCATGTTAATTCTCTGTATCAATTTCTACTGCTTAATTTATATTCCTTACTAAAATTCTTGATTAAATTTGAAAGATCCACCAGGAAATTACCTCTGTAAAAGCTGCCAACTCTTCTCGGAACAGGGTCATTATACAGAATTCTATTCTCCTTAGTAGATGCTCCATCTTCTGTGTGTGGATCATGATATGCTCCACCCTGTGCAAAAGAAAAATAAACTATTTAAAATGAAAGACTGTAAACTGATGTGCAGTTTTTAACCAACATACATAAGCAAGAAAACCCCAAAATTCACCATACAATTTTCCTTTCATATTATTAATAACTGCAAATATCAAATCACAGTCTATGTAATCAATAATTACTTGGTTTTGCTGCTTGATTGCTTCTTTCCAAAATGACAAAAATGGCATTAACAAAATTTTGCCTTTAAGTTGTAACTTTAAAGAATGAATCTGATTCAGGCCCTCAGATTTTCAACCTGAATGAAATGCAACTGTAACATCTCTGGAGGAATCTTTTACTGGAGGCTTGTTAAATTAATTTCTGATGGAATCTGGTCACTCTGCTACTGGCAAACTTTACAAGGCAGACAGGAATGCATCTAATTTGTGATAATTGCAACACCAAAGCACTAACTTCTCTTACCATCTCATATCTCTAAATATCATTACCTAGAGGTACCAACAGTCACAAAATCTACAATATGCAAAGTCTCTAAGAAATCTATAGATGAAGTACTTCAGTCAGACAGGACAGCAAAAAGCATATCATTACCCCTAATTTACTCTGTCTTCCTGAAAACAGTACTTCCTGGAAGTACGTCAAGTAAAAGTTCAGGTGAGCCCTTAAAAACATCCTTATGCACATAATTTGCCACCAAATATGACTTAACTCCACTCTTAAATGAATCAGAAGCTACAGCTTTTCCCTCAGTATGGACTGATCACATGAAATTCAATGCTCTCCCCCAGACCCCACAAGAAACTCCAGAAACCCCTGCACGAATTGAAATCTAGAATGTCCAAGAAGGACAAATGTTAAAACCAAAGCCATCAGAAAACCTAACCAAAATGAAAAACTGGGATTTCAAGTCACTGCACAAGCGATTTGCAGAATCTACTTTGCTTTTTGGGGATGAAGATCTGGTCTCAGTGTCAGAGAGAAAACAAACCTTGAAACCAAGACCAGAACTGCAGCTAAAACAATGCTTCAAATCCCAGTTGGATTCTTCTAAAATTTACCAGAGGCTGAAGCATTTGCTTAAATTACTACTTGTATTAGACACCTCTTATTTATCAGCAGTTAAATTTCAAATGTGAGACAGTAATAGCAACTTGTATTTGTTTTTCTTCTGCTTAACCCTTTTTGTGTACATTTAATTTAAATGTAAAAAAAAAAAACCCTTAAAACAAAACTGTTGTGTTGAGACTTGAAAAGTCTAAAACTAAGGCTTGATTTTTTTCTTTTAATAAGATTTAAATCTTGGCAAACAAATAATGTGTTTCTTTAAAAAGACTTGGTAGAGCTGAAAAGAAAATCAATGAGAAGCTAGAAACGCGGAAGTCAGGTAACTTCACAAAATATGAGCTGAGAAAGAAAACCCGGGAGAACTGATCAGAAAAAATAAGTATGAAAACAGTAAAAAAATCTATGAGAACACATATTATTAATGAGTTTTTTAGTTCACTACTCCTGAGGGGAGTGAAATTTTCTGAATCCTAATGCATAATGTAGAAAGAGGGGAAAAATGAGGATAGGAAGGAGCCAAATAATGACTTCTTTGTGAAAATGCCTTTATGAGGCATAAGAAGATTGATTTTGATTTGGTACTGAAAGCAATATAAACAAATAAAAAACAGCTTTGTGAATTCACAGACTTAGCATCCATTTCAGAAAAGTAATTTTCCTTTCACACTTCTAATGGTTGAAATACAGATTTAAAAGCACTAAGCAAAGGTTGAAGTTTTAAAAATACTGACCATAATAGATAAAGGCAAGATCTCTATCTTGAATAAACAGACTTTCCAAAGAAAATGAAAATGAACAAAACCATAAACATTACTATACACATCGATTTTACTAATTAAAATAAAAATCTGTCAACCAATTTTCAAAGACAAAGAATGATCCAATAAAAACAACTGGCCTCTAAATAGTAGGAACTAAAATTAAAATTACTTCAAATTACTATCTGCTGCATAATGCAGAAAATGAACTGAAAGTATGACCTTTATTATGAAAAACTGAAATGCTGATATTACTGCCCTTCCAAATAATATCCTGAAGAATTAGTAATGTTTAGTTTGACGGAAATGAGAGAAACAGAAAAATAAGTACACAGAAAAAAAACCTGATTTTGAAATGGAGCTGATGTAATCTCTTCTAGGTAGCTTTTTAAAAATTATTATTCCCTAGCACTTCTATTTTGATATTTTCTCATGTTTGACTATACATAATCTTGAATGTAGGAGATGTGCTACAAATGAAGAAAAACATTATGTCTTTTTTTCTCTACTGGACTGAGGAGTCCATCACTACCTGAAACTCTTCTTTTTATGGTACTTGTACTTGACCCTATTAGGTCAGCTACACATTTTTCTTAGATGAAATACTGAGCAAGCAGAGTATTTTAGTTTCTCAGAGTAAACCATAATCTTTGGACATTAAATATTATTTGCAGCTCTTTGACTTCAATTTGTCAGCAAATCTGAACTAGATGTTCCCTCCTTAGAAGTCAGTTTGTCATAGGTGTAGGCATAGAGAAACATTCATTTTTATATTTGTCTCTGCAGCATTTTGTTAATAGAGGAATTTAAAGCTCTGAGGGCAAATACAGTCATCTTTACATATCTGATGTGTAAAACATGAGATAATTCAGAAGTGTTCTGTAACAAATGTAAATCAACACCAGAACCAGCCCGTCCTCTACTCTTTAATTAATGCTCACAGAAAAATACAACCAGGTATCCACTGACAGCAACAACTGTGAGGAGTCAATTTACCAGTGGCCACTACAGCATGAAATCTCTAGTAGACTACCCCAGTGACTTATCATACCAATCTAAAGAAATATTGCAAGCTTTCATATTTCTCTAGTAAATTAGGGTATTTCAGTAATAATGTCCTGCTATACCTGAATGAAACACTGGCTTCAAAAATTAACATTAGCATTCATAACAGAAATACATATAGGAAAAGCTAAATAAAAACACAAATGTGAAAGACAATTAGGCAAAATGATGACATCAGGCCATGTAACCAAGGGCTAAAATCAACTAATGAAATTTTAACTTCGGAGACAATTTTTTCATTCTCACATTTCAGCACATTAAGATAATGGTATTCATAATCCATTTTTTAAAAGTACCTTGAAATATTCAGCCCTTCTGAAAACAAGCCCCCAACAACATCCCCATGTCTTACAAGACAAATAAATTAATAACTGCAAAGAAACAAATGGAAGACAGAAAGCAGGCCACTGCCCCCACATGACTTAAAAAGAGGAAGGTAAACCTTAAATAAGAGGCAATATTTTGGACTAACCCTATTAGAATCTTCTGTACAGTCTTCTCGTGATGAGCCAACAGACCTTGTGAGTGACTTATGCTGCACCTGTGGAGATAACAGTTGCAGGCTGTTTGCTCTGGCTGCCATCCCTTGCCCTACGCTTAAGCCACCCTCTGAGCCCTTTGACCTCACTCTGTCCCGGCTCACATACATCGAGTGTCTATGAGGGCGCTGCTGTGAAGAAAAAGGGCTGGTATAACCTAGACCATAGGAAAAAGATTCATGTGGAGCAGATAGAGAGTGGGAATGGCTTCCATCCATGTGATCTGGCAGTTTTAACTCCTCCATTGTTTTGGAGTGTCTTGTTGGAGGTCTTCGGGTGTCCAGGGTGCCCTCGCTGCGGTTATTCCTGGCGGACGGACTGAGCATAGTTCTGTTATCACTGTGCCGGGGAGCACTTGGACTGGTAGGAGAGTTCAAGTCCATACAGCTGGATGGAAAATACCTACTGGTGTTTGGCTCTGCAGCTTGGGCCCTGGCCTCAGAAAGGTTGCCCACGGATTTTGAGTCTGTCAGAACTCCATGGCTCTTGGACTTTGTCCGATAGGAGGGACTCTTAGAAGACTGTGGGATGGTATCGATGTAGCTGTGGCGACTGTGCTTGTCGCCGGGCTGCAGCGTCCCGGTTTTGCTTTGAGAAGTTTCCATAAAGGAATGCCGGTTCTGCTGAGATCTGGTGTTTGACTTCAGGTACTTTGTGCCTGAACCATCAGAGCTTTTGGTGTCCACATTAAAATCAAACTCTGTTTTTCCCTTTGGTTCCTTCGGGCTGAGGAGATGTGGCATGTTATTATTGGCTATATCCTTGTTGCCAGATCCAGGTGTGTTGCTTGGTTTTTTTGCATGCATTGGACTAGGTGCAGGTCCAGGAAGGTTTCCATTTAAAAAGCTTTCATTTGCTGGAAGCCCCTCTTCTCTTGGCCCGCCAGCCCCTAGTGTCTGCATATCCTTGCTGTTTGATCTGTGGTGTGACTGCAAAGCAGAACTTTTGCTGGCTTGATTTCTATATTAAAATGCATAAAGAAGCATTAATATACCAGATTACCTATTCATACATTAATAACTTCAAAAAAGTACACCCATTTCAGTTGCCATTTAAAACCACAAAATTTAACTGCAGTAAGATCAAATATTGTCAACTGAGGCACCAGAAGCTTCACTAAAATTACAGATTTGCAAGTGTTTGTACATTGTTGTTACTGGTTATAATCTGATGGCAAACCCTGCTTTGGCTAATGATTTTGCTGACAAAAGCCCTGAAGATATCAAATCTAATCATAGAAATTCCAAGTTATATTTGCACATTTATGCATGTATGTGTGTACTATATAAGCACATCACTAAGTGAAGCATTACATTATGAAAATTAGCTGTATATCAATTGAAAAAATCTTAAATACACCTGGCATATCAAAGAAATATGTCAGCACTGTCAAAAAAGCCTGATACAATCAATGCTCTAGGCTATCCAGTGTATTCCTGGTTTGGAGGAGGAAGGGAGAGGAAAGGAGGGGAAAAGAGATTATTGTTCAGATGGAGTGAACCTGAGCAAGCCCTGTAACACCAATCCCAAAACCATGTCTACCACAGGAAGACAGCTTTTGTGGAACCTGGCACTATCCCAGTTTTTGGTACATTAACTCATTCCAAAGCTGCACCTGAAAGGCTCAGCAACCAAACTGACTGGGTGCAAAGCTACTTGATTGTGTCCTTAGCCTCTACTCAGCTTCCAAGCTCTTCTGGTTTTGGGATTACAGCACTGAGATACGAGTTGGTTCTGCAAACCCTCAGCCTGATTTTTTTGGAACAGGATTTATCATCTCAGGTTTTCTGGCCTTAAACCAGTTCTGCTTCCGGACTTAGGCAGGCACTGCAAACTAGCCAAGACTGAGCAGTGCTGGAGCTGTGCTTGTTTGCCTTGATGGACCTAGGCAGGCTGTGAACTATTAACTTATTTCTGTAACAAATATATGATGTAACTCAGATATATTACTGAGGGTTGAAGTGAGAGCTCACTGTACCTTTGTTGGGCTTTTTGTTAATTATAATTGGATAATGCTAGCCGGTTTTATACCTAGGATTTTTTTATTAACCACTTCCAGTGATCTCATCATCTACTTAATTACACTTTCTCAAACTTTACCAATTTTAATGCCAGTTAAAAACATACCCCAGTTAACAGAAAGTAAATTTTTTAAAAAACTTAGACATATGAGAAACCTAGTATTTTTACTAGGCAAGCCTTCTGGACAAGTTTCCAGTGGAGGCAGGTTTTTCTTTCTGACGCTACATGTCTAATGGTAAAATTTCTCCACTAAGCATCTGTAAAGGCAGATAGAACCTTTTCATGTCTATCTTTGAAAAAGTATAGATTGTGAATGTCATCATCCCAAGTCTTAAAATAGAGGAGCAATTTTTTGAATCTCACAGGATAAGCTAAAGAAAAACATGGCCAAGATTAAAAGCCTGCATATAGAATATTAAAATATTAAAATATTCTGCATACTTCAGAGGGTGACCTTTCTGAACACATTTATCACAGCAATAACATGAAGCTTTTTCTACTGAAGTATTTTATCCAGTAAACCTGGTTCATTGAGGTATTAAAATTAAGTGGCTTCTCTCAAGCTACGTGGGTCCAGCAAGGGAGTCACTGAGCAAACATAGTCTGCTTTGAGTCTGAGGTCAAACAGACTAGACCCAACCCGCAACTGCAACTGCAGACAAAATTCTGTTCATCTCCAATTTGGAATGTGATCAATGCTCGCAATTTTCAGGACATTTAGCTGCTACAAACGGGTGTGAACTTTAAGCTTTTAAATATCAAAATCTTGGACAGATTTGTACATATACAGCAATGGTAGCATTCCAAAGAAAAGAGCATTCCTCTGGAATCTTGGGCATCTTCCAAGCCACAAAATTCCTATTGTTCAAGAAAAAGGATCACATTTTTTTAAGGTGGATCAGCCAATTATTTTTCTTTGTCATGCACAGAAATGGCTTCAGCATTGTCTTGCTGGTTTTTTTTAAGACACATTCAGCCTGATGAAGAAAGTTAGCAAAGATTTCAGCCTGTGTAGTTGTAAATACTATGTCTGCTTCCTTTTCTCAGTGAGGCAACACAGAACAGCACGCAACACGTCTCAGTGTGCCTAAGCTGTCAAACAACCACTTTTCTTGTGGGTGATGCTGCATGTGAGCACAACAACAACAACAACTCCCTCAGTGGCAGAGCAAATGTCAGTGATAACAGTGACAAGACTACATTTACCTGTTAGATAAAGTGTTGCTGTCTGCATGGTAAGGTTTTCTCTTCGCTGACCGTGAAGGTGAACTTCCACAGCGATCCAGGAGTCTTTGGGTTTGAAACGAAGGGTGGTTCAAACATTGTTCTGTCAAATATCTATCTGCTGGATCTAACTTCAGTAAGTTCTTTGAAAAATAAATCCCAGAGTTTAAATGTTAGTATCTGTATTTACATTAGCAAAAGAAAAAAAAAAAAACAACACAGAAAAACCAAAAATCCCAAAACAAACAAAACAAAAAAACCCAACCAAACAAAACAACAAAAAAACCCCAAAATAAAGAACACAATTTTTCAATCTCCACGGTTTCTGGGATCAGATGTCACTGCTAGAATAATTTCATGGTGCATTAAACTACATATGATACAAAATAAACCCACATACATATTACATGTATATAATGCTATGTACACATATACAACAGTAGGTTTAAAATGCAAGATATTTAAAACTTTTAAAATATGTTATATATATATGTTTTAAATATATGTATTTTAAACATATTTTTCAGGATATACCTTAAAACATCGCTTTGAATCAAAAATATTAAATTTATCAGTAATAAAATGCTACAATGAAAACAGGCTTATCAAACAAACAAAACAACTATATGGGAACATTCTTTTGCAAAAATAAACATTATTTTAAAGTTAGTATTTTCAAAAATATACAAATGTAAGAGTTCTGTTTTTAGCTTATAAGGTTCAAACCCACCCATATTTTCAAAGGATTCTCTAAACTGTTAACAATGCATTCAGAATAACACTTGCCTTATAATTCTGTTAGATCAGTTGTGATTCTAAACAAAGACACTTCCTGACACACAGAAAATATTTAATCACAAAACCTAAAACAGGAGCTTGGGTATTTTGGGAAGTTTGAAAGGTTTCTTGCAGGAAAAGAGCAATACAAAGCTTACATTGAAATATTCAAACATGCAGGACTGTTAGCAAGGTTTAAAGTTTGAATGGCTATTAAGTAAAAAAACCCAGCTATTTCTTAAGGGTTGTATATGTTTAAGAGAGAAGAACATGTGTGTCTATGCACATGCATGCACACTACATTAACACCATATTCAGCCACTTGACCACAAACTGGTTTTCCCTTCACATTTCACTTCAAAATGGAAAATGCTCAGGAAACAAAGCAAGTGGCAAACCAAACTCCTATAGTTTGGTCATACAATATGCAGCATCTTTCTCAAGTGACAAACTACTGAATGATTAACAACTTATTTCTCCCTTATTTTCTGATGCTCATCACTAGAGTGGCTCAAAAGGCCAAACAAACATGAGAAGGCCACATGTGATTCCTACATTCCCCCTCAGAAGAGAGGATGTCCAGAGGCTTCTCACAACTGCTTCACTACTTTACACAGGCTGGATGACAAGCAAGGAGAACTGGAAGTCCATAGGTTACCACAAGGCTGAAAATCTGCCTGGAATCCCAGAGAAGTAGTGGGACAGGGCTTATGGCTGAGGCATAGTCACTGATGGGTACAACTGGGCTCAGAAGGAAGGGGATGGAGAGGGAGAAGAGTAACACTCCATATAAGTGAGTTCCTGGATCATATCCAACCTCAGCATGGAACAAAAGGTTTATCCAATGACAATCTCTAGGTTAGGATTAGAAGGGAAAGCAACATTTGGTATGTTATGGTGGAAGTTTGTTACCAACAATGCAGTGAAGAGCCCGAAAGTGATGAAGAGGAAAACTACAACAACAAAAACCATCTCCTGGTCACACATCCGCATCCTCACAGCAGACTTCAGCTATCCTGACATCCAGCCTGTGTCCGTGTTCCAGGAGATTTCTAGACTCTGTTGGTGGAAATTTCCTAGTGCAGCTGCTGGAGAGGCAAATTAGCCAAGGGAGGGACTTCAGTTTACTTGAGCTGCTGCTCAACAACAGTGAAGTACTGGTGAGAAATCTGATCAGAGCTGTAGCAACCACGAGATGATTACAGCTAGGACTGAAAGAAGAGCTGGCAAGACAAGCATCAGAGATAAGACCCAGGACTTCAGGAGAGAAAATTCCATTTTCTGTAAGGAATTACTGGGCAGAATCTCCTGAAAAACTACTATAAGATGAAAGGTGTCCAGGACAGCCATTGATTTTTATGGAAAATTTATTGAGAGCTCAGGAACAAAGCATCTTACTGTACAGAAGACCAAAATCTTTTTCATAGGCTCAGGTTGGCTAAACAGGGAGTTTCCTAATGAACAAAAATGCAGAACAGGAGTGCGTGAGAACCAGAGTGAAGGACAGGATATAAGGTGGACTATAAAAGCAGTGCATTAGCACAAAGGTTAAGCCACTTCATAAGGTCAAAGTCCAGCTAAGGCAAGTGAAGAAAACCAAGGGTAAAAAGAAAGGGTTGTACAAGTATTCTCTTTAGCAAATAAGCTCAGAGGAAATGCATGTCTGGTACTGAATGGCAGAGGCAATTGAATTACAAATGATATAAAAAATAGAGTCTCAATGTCTTTTTTTCCCAAGTCATAACACACAAAACAAGTTCCCAACTCCCTAATGCTTGCAAACCAGCCTGGCTTGTGAAGGAGAGTGGCAGACTGGAGCAACAACAAAGCAACAAGGTCAAATTCGTGCCTCTTCATTAATCCAGAAATGCTCTCTAAATAGATATATATTAATAACTCCCTACTTCAGCTGGCATAAATTGAAGCGTGGGTTATTCAGTAATCTAGCAATCTGACCTGAGATCCCTGGGAATGCAGATAATGAGGAGCACAACAAGTGTGGACATGTGTCAGACTGTCCATTGTCTGCAGAAGAGACAGGCACACAACAAAGTATGTGCAGCATTTGCAACATGCAACTTAACCACAAGTCCCTTCTGTTCTCTCCTTGTAGACTTCTGTTCATTGCTTAACAAGGTTCCAACGCCTGAATTAAGAAATGCAGGTCAAACACAAAATATCCCCTCTACAGAATTCATGACCTTTCTCATCTTGTTGGCAGACACATGGACAAAAAAGATGAAAAGAACAAAATTATTTGGAAACCTGTGATTCCCTAAAACTCAAGTGCTTCCTTTTACAACTTTGCAACTTTTAAATCATATCAAAATAACCTAAAAGACACTGAGATATAACATAAAATCTAGGATAAAATGAAAATAAACCCTCCCCCAGTACATGTAACATCAGTCTTAAGACTGATCTTGAAATTTCTGTCTGCAATATATGCTACCAGATCTTGAACTACATCTTACTATGAAAAAAAGTTTTTGCGAATTAGAAAATAGAGGAGAAAGTATAATACCAAAACAAGTAATTATATGCACTGGAGTGTATCATGTTGCAGACTCCTTAAAATCAAGATAAAAGCCATGCTAACTCTCTTCATAAGGCAAGGAGATCAAAGGGATTTGAACTGGCTGGATTGAATAAGAGTAGAGAAAATTTTGTGGATTTCTGCTGGCTACAGCAATACTACTAAAAGTAAGTAAACACCCAAGTATATCCCAAAGCATCTTTGTTTTCCAAGACAACAGGTGCAGAGGGGTTTGGGATCATACAATCCATTCAGAGTCGATCAGCCATATCCACGCTTCATGTCCCATATTGCCTTTAATTCTTAGGTGCTTCTGTGATTCTAAACCTTGTTTTGGATACTATGACTTCTTTCTTCAGCTTACTGGGGATGAAATGATGTGAGGGTTGTACTGCAGCTTACCATGGGAGTGTTTTTATAGTACAGTAGTAAGGACAACAATGTGTGTTCCATACCCAGGAATATGGCACAAATGCACAGCACAATGTTTCTGTGGGGAATGAGCTTTGGGCTTCTCCTGATTTCCCATAATAAAAACTCTCAGGACCATACCTAGTTTGGCGACCTGTAACTGGCTGACTTGTTCCAAAACAGGACTGAGGAGTAACCTAACATACACACTGTGGAGAGGTGACAGCAAGCAGACTGAGAGCTCGGATACAAACTCCCAAAACTCCCGTGTGTCAACTCTGTCTGTGGCAACTGTCCTCACCTTCACACTTACCCAACAACAAAGGAAAAACAACTCAGGTTAGCCCAATACTCTGTGGATGTATCTCAATGTGATGGGCTGAGAGCTCACACTCCAGCAGTCAGTGTCTCTGCATGGATGCCAGTGTGAATGCACAGCCCTGCAAAGGATGGTGATGGTGCTTTGTCTGGGATACATATTCTTTATCAAATCAGTTAAAATTGAACAGACTCTCCTGGCATTTGCAAGGGATATTTTCCTGATTCCTAGGAAATATCAAGCCTTACTACAAACAATGGTGCAATTAAAATATCTCAAAATGGAGTTTCCAAGTCCTCCTATTACATTAAGAAAAAAAGGTAAGAAGTCATTTATATATCTTTTCCCACATATTACAGACAGAAAATAAAAACATTTTCCTACCTTCATAAGATCAAGCAGTACACCGCTTAAAATTCCCAAGTATCTTCTTTCTAAAGACTGTGGATGATTGACTGCTGGAAACTGTAAAAAATACACTGTAAATAGCCTGATCATGTAAACAAGGTAATACATGAATACAAAGTTTCAAAAAATAGAAACTAGTGAATCAAGGCATGTAATTAATACAAATCATAAGCACTGAAAAAGTTAGTGGTTTATGAAAACTATAAAATACTACAGTGAAACAAATAACTTTTGATGTGTGGTAAGCATCTAATCAATCAAAGAAAGTATTCTTGATTATTAGGGTAGCCAAGAAACGACTCTCAAGTGAGAAATAATAAAATTTTTTGGGGGGCATTATGAGTGAGAGGAGATTTAAAATAGATTCAGAACTAACATAAGCAACGTATTTATTAAAAAAAAAAGGTTAAAAACAACTCAGAGATAATTTGAGAGTGCAAATACAGTAGTAATTAAATACTAAATATTAAGAAACAATTCGCAAGTGTTTTTTAGTGAAAAAATGCAAAAGCTCAAAGGTTTAAGTCTCAGAGTTACAGAGTTACTGGCGTGGTCAAGCTGCTGGCAACACCATGAGAAGCAGTGCACACAGCTGGGGGCATCCTTCAGTTGTATTATTTTCATAAATTACATTATGTGAACTTTGAAGAAAAATGGAAGAACATGAGTTTGAATGCTTTTATTCCCAAAAAAGTCTCTGTATTTTTCTTTTGACTTTGCTTTATTTTGAAGTCGTTTACTACTAATTGAGAATTTCTTAAAGTCCAAGTCTGCTAACCAAGGCTTGATGCTTCCTCCATTTTTAGGATAAACCAAATTGTAAATTGTTCGTGCCTTCCTGTAGATTGGCAATCATAAAAAAGCTTTTGTATCTATGATCAGGAAAACAGGAAAATGTGCTGAAACCATGAAAAGCACCAGTGGCTTTTCACTGTAATTGTTCAGATTCTTCATGTAACTTATTGGTAGGACAAATAATTATAGCCCTACATTGCCACTCACACTTTTCTGTAAAGTCATGAGCTTATTGGTAATTTCTGATCCTCACATGATTTTACTTCCTTATGTCTTCAACATACCCTGGATGTTTTTCTCCTCTAAAGAACTGAAGAGAGATCACTAAATATTCTCTAAACCTCAGGAGCAAGGAAAACTGTGTTATATACACATATATGGAGGATATGAGTAGAGAGAAAAGACAAAGTTCGCAAATGTGCATTTGGACATTCTGGAGTGTTTGAAGAGAATTTTTAAACCTTGTTTTACAATATGGTAGTATTCACATACTGAATACTAATGTATTGTATGTCATGTAATGTAGAAATTCACTAAGTCTAAGCATATGGATAAAAAATTCCACATCATGGGCTAGTTTCTATCTTGAGAATATCCAGCACCAAATCCAGCCTGTAAGTAACAATTGGCTTGATCACAGCATACCTACTGCAACAGAAAATCTTTCACTACACTACATTCAGAAAAAATGTACTTTTAAGGTTGTCTTACAGCACAGGGTAATTTCTTCCTATGAATTAACTAATTAATATAATATTTCAAACAAATAATTTTTGAAATATTTTTAATGTTTAAGCCATTATTCAGACTTTACTTCAGCTCTAAAAAATACTCTCTGTGAGGAGCCATATGGCCCTGTCCACATCAGCAGTATCCTCACTTTACAGACAGGACTAAGAAGGCAGGAACACGTCTGAGGACAAACAACAAACCACTGATCCAGGATGAGAACAGAGACCCCTAACTCTGAACCTTGTGCTAATCACATTAGGTCCATGCTGTCTACTTGAATTACTGCATTTTAAAACTACAAAACAAAGATACTCCACCTTCATCTTAAGACATCACAGAGAATTTATTCGAACAAGATTACACTGCACAACCAGAAACCCTGTAAAATAATGTTGGAGGCAGTAATTTATTTTGCTTACAATTTTTAAAGAATTGCCTTCCTGATAAAGGGTTACAAATTTCTCATACAAAAACCCCATCTAGCCCACTGTTCTAAACAAGGTGAAATACAAATAGAACCTTGCAAGAAATGCTTGTCCAACAATTTTTTTTAAATCCTTCACTCTTGAAGGGTCTATAAACTTCAACAAAAACTCTCCAGAATCAGTTATATTTATACCTAAAATAATTACCTTAACACCTTAAGCCAACTCTTTTCTTATCATTGTCAAATTCATGGCAAGTTTGAACATGTTTTTACAGAAGTAGGTCCCCACTCCTTCCCCTTTCACATTCTCATATTTTCTTTTTCTCAGAATAAAACTCAAATCTTAGTCTTTACCCCAGATCCAGTCTCCTAAAACCTTCATATGTCTGTTTATGTGGTTTAAACTAATTATTTCAGAATATTATCAAGATCATAAACTCACCTTTCCAAGCAACATTTATCAATAAAGAAAGGACAACCAAAACTGAATTACAAGGAAACCCGAGTACAATCACTGAGCAGGTATTGTTTAAAGTAACAGAGCTATTACTTATTTACTGATTCTGGGATTTTGTCATATTGCATAATCCAGCTTGAGTAGATCTTCACACTAGTGAGTCTCTGTCGTTATATTGGCAAACCCTTGAAAAGAACAATGCTGCCAGTAGGAAGGACTTTTTTACTCATGAGACATACATAGATCACCAGGCATAGAAGTCAAAAGGCAGAAAGCTCTTCTGCCATGATCTGAGCATCTATAGCTCAGATTTTCCCAACAAACTAGCTTGAAGACAGTAGTCCTGAATTTTCCACAACTGACCTTACAGAGCTTTGCCACTAAAGTTTACAGTGCAAACCTGGCAGGGCAATGTTAGATTGGGTATAAGAGGTAAACTGCATGCCAAATATATCAAAGAAATTAAAGAAAATCTTTAAACATCTTTTAACAAGAAAACAAATGTATTTATAATGCTCACTTCCGGTGTAATCAGAATTTTACTTTGACTTATGAATGCCTTATAATCTATATATCCTATACTTACACAGAAATGTGGGCAGTAGATAATGCACAATGTAAAGGAAAAGAACCTTTGCAGCATTTTCCACAAATAAATAAGAAAAGTAAGAAAAAAGAACAAAGCTCTCTCTTACCCTCAAGCCATGGAAGCGTGGGTTGCTGTAGAAGAGCTTCATCTGCTCGGCTGGCAGAGGGCCCAGCACCTTCTGAATGGTGAAGAGCTGGTCAATCTCACTCTCGCCAGGGAACAAGGGCTGCCCGTCACTCAGCTCCCCCAGGATACAGCCCACAGACCACATATCCACAGCCTTGCCATAAGGGGCTCTGGGAAGCCAAAATAAAATGTTTGTCACTCACTGCCACTGCCTTCTCACTGAGCTGCTTCAATTTATTGGCCATATTTCCCATGGCACACTTCCTCACAACGTAGAAAAATAAACTTTCTTATTAAGCAAACTACCTCAAAAACCAAGCTCTCTGTTTCTGCCCTAGATTTCCTGATCTATCTATCACTGCTTGAAAAGGCAGGAGAGGAATTCTCAGGTGCCCCAAGGGATCTTGCTCTTTTTGAAAAATCTTACATACAAGAATAATCTTTTTGACTGCAAAGCTTTCTCCACTACCACTACCTTCCCTTCTCTCTACAGCTCATGCCTACACTCAGTTCCTGTTTTACATTTCTTGTGCTTAACAGGTATATGAACATATTGGGTCTGGCCACTGGGAGAACAGAAATTCTAAGAAATCTTTATTTCAGCATTTATACACAAAAACTAGCAAGAAAACAGGGTGCTCCTGAAAACTATTCCTTAGAAAAAAACCAAGTAAGGAAGCAATGAAAGCATCATAATGAATTCCTAGTTGGGAGCAAAGCCACAGGTTGAGGTTTGGGGAGAACTCTTCTTTATACACCCAAATTCTTGCTTGTTGAATTTGCAAAAAGAATTTGTAAGCACCCATATTATTCCAATAATGTCTTTCCAATGTTTAGATTTTAAACAGAATGACTGGAGAATTCTTTTCAAGTTAAAAAAAAAAGCATATAAAAATAATAAAGACTGGAACAAAGACTGAACTGAAAACATATTTCACTGAGTCTCTTAATTCTGAAACTTGTAATCCAGTAACTCGAACTCTGTTTCAAGAGTTTTAAGTTACAGCTAGCTTGCCTTTTTCTGGAGTAAGACAGCACCAAGAGTTGCAGGTGACAAATCCTATCCTAAATCTGTCTCCTTCTCTCTTTCCTTATGCTGCTGATTAATTATGTTTAGAGAAAGAATATCCTCAAACTAAAAAAATAAAAATATTTGACTTTTCCCTAGTGATTACTCATTATTATTTACTTTACTTGTGGGCAGGACACTTGGCCAGAGGAACAACAAACCCTTATGGTCATTTGGCTTGGTGAAGGTGAGAAAGAATTTCTAGCTGGACAACAGCCCAAGGGAAACCACAAGCTCACTGGGCCGACTGGTGCAGGACTCTGTGGTAGCTGGGAAAGCTGAAGTAGGGCACCAAAGCTTCGAGAACCACTTGCCTTAGAGAATGTGCCATGAGACACTGTAGTCCTCTCACAATAACCATCCCAAAATCAAAAGTTTGCCCACTGGAAGAGACTGCTGATAAGGAACCACCAGAGGCAAAGCAGACCATGTCACAACTCCTCAAGCATCACTACTACTCAGTGGGTTCATAGCTTGTTTACTAATCCTGCATAGTGGCTCCCAGTGGATTTTCTGAGAGACTCAGTGTTTGACCTTTCTAGGATGCTGCTAGTCCAACCCACCCATTAGGTCAGAATGACAAGTAGTTTTTTTTCTCAGTGCACAAGGTAACACAAGCAAGAATGGACTCCAAAGCAAAGGATCTGCTCTTAAAATACTCTGTGCCTCTATTGGGAAACTGAGGCTCTGTAGGCAAAAGAGTGAGAGTTCCAGGTAAAAATCCTACCCTTTTATTATGACAAAACCCAAATACATCTTGCAACTCCTTTAATACACAGTTTTCTCCACTAAAATCTGAAATGGGGAAAAGGCTGCTGTAGACTGGGGTGTGATAGAACAAGCTAGGGTTACAACTGAGGGATTGGCTAAAACTCCTTTGAGGCATGGACCATTACCTTTCCTTGCTCTCAAGAATAAAGGAAGCTGAATTACATTTAAGAACTTTTCACTATTTAATCTGTAGTCAAACAGGAACAAATCAGAAAATAGTAATTTCTTAAGGCAGCACAAACTGCAATGCTATTGTTTGAAAAGGCAAACTCAAGACTTCTTCTCTGCTGACTTTCAGGATCAGTCTTGTCAGATCACAGCACACAAAAATATGCAAGAGTGACAAGGCTGGACAAATGAAATAACTCCTATATGACAGACAGACCATACATCAGAAGCACTACAGTCTATGCCTGCACATACTAGATTCTCCAAAACATGTTTCCATCTAGTAATTTAGCATGCTTTAAAATCTACTGGCTTTTAGCAATATTTTATCATCAAAGGGTACAGAGTATTCCACTAACAGTAGTTACCTGAGGCTCTCCAAAGTGAGTAGATTTTAGATGTTCTGTGAATAATTAGGGAGCAATTTCTTTCCTCTCCTGAAATATAAGTCTGGAATGTTACCACTAAACAAAAACCTCTCTGGGACACATTTTAAAAATTGATCATGTAAAACTGTATTTGTTAAATTGAATGTATTTAATAAACATGTGAACATTTTTGAATATGAGATGCTTATAAAAATTCAATAAATGTAAGGAAAGGGGGGATGGGAAAGATGAATGCCATGGGAAATAGAACAGCATTGCCAAGAAACAGGCATCACTTTGCCAGAAAAACTTGGCTTTAAAAACATACACCAGCACAACTGAAACGCTAAATACACAAATCTCCTCCCTTTCTCTACTAGCTAATCAAACAGATTTAGTCAACTACAAACAGACGTAATTCCTGCTGAATTTCCTCTGCCAACAAAACAGTTTCAAAAACTGCAGGTCAGACTAATACTATGTATGTCAAGCTTTTCATGTCTTTCCTCCTAAATCTTCATTACTACTAGAGACAAAAGAATCACAATTGATGCTATTTTTCCAAGTCTTTTTTAATACTTATATATGCACATACACACTTCACTGGAAGCTTTACTATTATCTCCAAAACATGAAAAATTGAGGTCTGAGTTTTTTAATGGCAGCTTTAAGATACTATTATGCACATAAGAAGACAACTGCCAACAAATTTGATTAATATTAGCACAGCTCTAGGAACACCGGGATGATTTTATTGACAAAATAATTATTACTTAGTTATTTATCTGTTCAAAAAATATCTAGTTCAATGTTAATCAAAGGTTCCAACCAAGACTTGTTTCCGAGGAGCACTTAACATGGTGCTTAAAGACTCTTAGGAGTGACCAGAAATTTTTTGATTCATCCTGTGGCTAATAGTTCCTTTTTTAAAGAATATGTATATATAAATACACATGCACTGTATATTGGAATTGTATTTTGAGAGCGCTCACATAGTTTAGATTAATGCTCTGTTTAACTTGACTGCAATGGGAAGTTCACATATCATACATCTCCACTTTTTTTTTTTTCCTCTTCCTTTGCCATTTTGGGCCCTATCAATTTGTTCCTTTAGTATCTCAAAATCTGTTTTACCTTGTAAGGTAGTAAAATGTTCGTTTTACAGATGAATAAAGGAGGAAAACGAAATTTTCTGGCTGAGACTATTAATGTAACTAATACTTTTGCAGTCAATGCAATGCTAACTTCTCAGTGCTTTATTGAAATGATTTATACAGCCTCCTTCAATAAATTCTTCCTAACTAGTAAAAAACTAGCACCATCCTTTTGAGGGACTTCAGCAGTGCTGGCAAAGGGTAACTACAAATGAAAATCAAAGCACAGAATCATAGAAAGTTTTGGGTAGGAAGGGACCTTTGAAGATCATCTTGTTACAATCCCCCTCACCTGGGCAGGGACACTTTCCACTAGATCAGGATGCTCAGAGCCCCATCCAAACTAATCTTGACACTGCCAGGGATGGGCCACCCACAGCTTCTTTGGGCAATGTGTTCCAGAGCCTCACCACCTCTGAGCAAAAAATTTCTTCCTAATATAGTTCTGACTCAAAGGATGAAGATAACTAGGAATGTTGCATAGTGAAAGCTGTACTGCCATTGCTATGTGATGTCCACACAGGGCTGGTGGAACATTCCAGGCTAGAGGACTACCATGGAAACCTCTTCTGAAAGAACTGGGAATGGGGGTGCAGGAGCTGGCAGTACATCTGTTATAATTCAACCTATTTTTTTAAATTAGTTAACCACTGCTCAGCTCAAGACAGGTCAATATGTCAATGATTCATACTGACTTACTGGAAATGAACAAAAATTCATGAAAATCTGGAAGCCTCTTGAAATCTTGCCTTTAAATCAAACACTTTTCTTCACAGGCAAAGCTTACAAAAGGTGCTGAAAAACCATACAGAATCAGTAAAGATTTATTATGGCACTTCTCAAACTGTACTTACCCAAGCAAGAGCTCAGGTGAGCGGTACCATCTGGTAGCCACGTATTCTGTATAGTTAGCATTGCTTCCTTCAGAGAGATTACGAGCAAAGCCTGTCAGAGAAACAGTGTGAAAGATTATATCCCATTTTAAAAACAACACATGTATCACCACTGATTTTGGCAGTAAGAGGTCATGTCTATTTATTTAGAAGCAAATTGTTTACAACTCCTGCTACAGCATGATGTCTCCAACAACTGCTTGTCCACTGAAATGCAAGTTTTTATTCACACAACAGTGAAAGTCAAGCATGTCTGCTTTAATGACTCCCTTGTGTACTATCCTCACAAGTCAGTGGGGTCTTGCTATTACTCTGTATACTATTATGTAATCAAAACAGACTGATTAAAGTTAACTGTCAGTATGCCATGTCAGCTATTGAAATATTACACTAAATTTCACTGAGGTGCTGTTTGCAGAAGATCATAAGAGTTTCTACACATTACACATGCATGTGTACTAGACTCGTCTGGTCATTGATTCTAACTACTACAGTCTTTGTTCTTTAAACTGGTGAAAAAACTACGTATTATCCTCATCTAAGGACACTCCCTCCTGGACTTGGCAAGGAAAATGGTCTTCTCCTCAAAACTATAAAATGCAGGAGTCCAGAAAAATCAACAAAACTGTTTATATCTGCACTTGGCTCACTCCACGTTTTGGCTTCCCAATTGCTTTAGCATCACATTCCCAAAAAGGCTCTTCATGAATTAGGATCAGAAATCATGTCCAAACTAACTTCTTTATCCATATAATTTTGTTAAGAATAAAACTAAAAATTTTTAAATGTATACTTATTTGCAATTGCACCAAAATTTCCCTACTGTCCTAAGGCATAACAATCATGACCACTAGCTGAGAGACGAGTTCATATACTGGAAAATCCATTTGTAGGAAAAATCTGAACATTTTATTTTCATTCTCCTCCATTAATTAAAAGTCAGCCAAGCACCACAATAATGTTACTGGATTTTTCTTGTAGAAATACTCTAGGACAGATAATGGCACTATTTTCAAAAACTATCAAGTCTTACTGTTTTCAAATAATTAACAATTAAGTGAGACAGGACAGACACATCTAAGCAGCAAGACTCCACATGTGTCAGCTCCTTACTAAGGCTTAAACTGAGACAAACTTTTGGGACTGGAATGCAGAAGCAGCATTTCCAAAATGCTTTCTTATTGGGGTGTGGCATTAAAACACAGTTCAAAATTCCCTTTAGTGAAATCACGGTCTTTCCATTTTTTCATGAACAATGAAAAAGTAGTAAAAATTCCAAAGTATTGCAGAAGGTGTAGTTTTATTTCCTGAACCAGTAAGTGCTACTTATTGGTAAATGCAATAGATGTTTTTCTTTATGCCTGAGTCCCTTTGCAGAAGCTGCCAAAATTGCCTTTCCTATTCAACTATGTTTTGTAGAGCTGTAAATGTAAAAATTTTTAAAATTCTTTTTAGTACTCTCAAAGTGTAAAGCTTAGCGTTCAGAAGCCCAGTTCTACTCACAGCATTAAGAAGCCCAGTTCTACTCACTCCTGTGGAATACTAATTTACTACAAGTTGAAGTAAAAATTTGGATGCAGATTATTATTATTAGACTAGTGATCATAGAAAACAATTATAAATTTTTTAAAGACATAGGTTACATCTGCTACTTTTATAAGATACCTCTAACTTTAAGTGTTAGTAAACTAAAAGACAGGATGAGTATGATGAGGAATGGATATTTCAAAGCTGTCTGCACATAAGAATTGATATCTGTTCCCATAAAGCCTAATGAACATTACTGGTGCTGCTGCAGAAAAGCTGGAAAGGAATTTTTTTTTTACTTCTAACATGGGAATTGAGTGAATTTTGAAATATTACTATATTTAGAAATGCTTAGGCAGCCCCATTTCTGTTTCAAATTATGAGCTATCTGATTAATCTTGGCAGTGGAAAATCTTTCATTCATGTGCTTAAAGAACAGAGGGAAGATAATCAGAAGCTTCAGCAAAGAAATGGGACAGTCAAAATGTGGGAAACCCCAGACTGAATAGGGGAGGGGAAGAAAGGAAAAAAGTTGTCACATAATAGAAATAAACAGATGCTGATGTAACACGAGTCTGGCAGCACACAAGCTCCTGTGCATCAGAAGAACCAACAGGTCAAAGTTTCGTCCTCCTCCCTCCAGGCCAGTCCGTCAGAACTTGGTCACAGACAGGAGCTATTATGTCCAGAAACCTGGCTACTGCAGCCTGAAAAATCAACCCCTAACATCACAGGCCAGGTGCAGCATGGATTTGATGTGGCAAGACAGAAAGCAAAGTTATCATCATGGGCTTCTGTGTACTTTATACTGTTGGGTGATGCATTTTATAGATCCAGTATTGCTCTGACCCTATGGCACCATGCAGAAAGATGATAGAATTAACAGTTCAGGAAAGCATATCTTTCTAAGGGAACAATTATTTTTGGTTATGATGGAGTTTTCTTATTGTTCCGTCTTCCAAATTGTGCTGAGGTATCAGGAATATGGAAATAAGAGAAGGAAGCTAGGGAGAAGATTAGACAAACTCTAAACAGGGAGAAGGAACAGACAGGAAGATGAAGATAGGAGGATATTTGGGTGAGAGCAACTATGAAAACAAGAGGGTTTGCAAAGGCATCATGCTGCAGAAAGAAATAAGCAAAATCAGAAATTTCAGGAAAGGATTTTAAACAACTCAGAACATCACAGGAGAGATGTCAAGGAAAAAGATTTAAGAAAAAAAAGGAGGAGGTTGTCAGTTTCTTACAGAGAAACAAGGCACATTTAAGTTCTACAGAAGGTAAAGCATTCTAATCTTAATGACATGTAACACTAGGGAACCTCTATTAATCAGAATTTTAAGAATATACTAAGCAAACATCTGTCAAAAATGACACAGACATTCTTAATCCTTTCTTTGAGTAGGCGGAAGAACTAGAGGATTTCTTGAGGTCTTTTCCAGTCCCATGTTTCACGATTTCTATGAGAACACACCATACAGAAATTAAGAGGTTGCTAAAACAAGAAATTTTGAAGCCCTGGTGTTGAAACAGCAAACACACTAGTCAGAAAACGGAATTATTTCCAACAGTCAGATGCATTGCTGTAATTGGCACTTTGTACTGTTCTCTTTTGCCACTCCTATTGGCAGCAATGACACCCACACAACATGTGTCCACACAAGCACAACAACCAACCTCAATTTTATTTTAGCACAGTATGTACAGAACACATGGCACAAGGATTCCGAAAAATTATCTCATTAAAAATTTATGAACTTTTTGCTCAAACTGGTTTTGTCCACTGTGCTATTGCAAATGGATGCATTATTCTTTCCTTTGTATATGTAATCACATGAGGAACGTGACATTGTATGTGGCAAGTACCCATGTTCCAAAACATGAATTCAGTAAGGTAGTCAGACAGCATATATTAAATCATGCTACAAGGCAAATTCTTATGCCCTAATCTCTACACGTTCAGGCAACACTTGTGCTTAACACCATTCTGACATGTATTTTACAGTAATAGCTTAAGATACTAGCAATTATGTCAATTAGCAGTAACACTAAAAAATTAAAACTGATTCCATCTTACAAGAGTTGCTCAGAATTTTAAATTCAACTAAAACTGAAAGGCCAATTAAAATTAAAACTAACCCACATGAACATTAAGAACCACAGAAATATCTAGAACAGTTTGCTTTCCTTGATATTATGCTGATCACTCTGAGTACACTGTGATTGCACATCTTTTCCAACAGCAGAAAGAGAATGTGGCTGGAGTACATGGTGTGAGCAAGCCAGCAGACCACACAGAACACTGCTGGCAGAATTCACATCATCTCTAGCTGGTGTGAAAACTGATGTCCAAAACACCACCACACCATTTGTCTAGCTTTTTATTTTCCTGCAATTCTGCTGCACAGAGGATGCTGACACAAGTTCACATTTCTCAGCTGATGTCATGTGACAACTCCAGCGGCATTACTCTCAAACAGGGAAATCCTCCACCCAAAAAAACAGAGGGAGGGAGGGAGGGAGGGAGGGAGGGAGAGCCAGGGAAGGACATGTGGGGTGCACAGCTCCCATGAAGATCCACCCACACTCCATGCTCCCACTGGCTGTTCCTGCTTGTGAAGGCTTTAGCCCAGACTGGGGCATGCCCTGTGCAGGGACAGGCGCTGCCTGTGCTGGCTGCTCAGCTCTGCATGGGACAGTGGGTTGGTCCCTCCGTGGGGTTTGCTTGGCAGGGGCAAGACCCTGATAATCACTGAAAGGTAAGGGAGGGCAACTACAGCAGTGCACACAGGAGGCCTGTGGGTGCCAAAAAGGCAAAGGCACCAAGGGCACCAGAGTGATGTTCTGTCAGAGCTGTGCAGTACTTTACATTGAAGAATAAATGTCATTAAATTCAAAGAGCTTATATGGGCCAAATATTCTAAGGGTTCTCCTAGAATGGTTATTGTTTCTGAATGTTTAAGCAAAAACGCCTTTAGGATTAAAAGAAATAAGCAGCACTCCAATGACAAATACTTTTCTTGTCTTCCTTAAAAACTATTTTGATTTATTTTGTTAGGAGTTTTTTTCATTCAAAATTGCAGAGGTTTGAAATGACAGCTTTCGAACTGTTCTTACTAAAAAGTGCCCTTGGGGTAACACTATGAATTGGCTTTTATTTACCAAGCCAAACGGTAAGCTTTTCAGAGGGAACATATTTTATTCTGTGTTTATGCAGCATTTAGAATAAAAATACAGATTGTTGGAACATTCTGCCCTGCTGTCTTCTTGGATTACTCACACGGGCAAAGTTCGTCTTGTACTTGGGTGATGTTCTTCAAAGCCTTAAAGCTGACATTGAACAGGCATTGGTAGGTCAGGAAACATCAGAGTTAACCCAACATGTACAGCTCTGACTCCCACCTCCAGTCATTCAGTCATTAATCACAGATGAACATGTGATTCCTTAATTAAGGTAATAAAAAACTTTGACCTATAACTACACATTAACACTCCACAAAAGCCAACGGTTCAAAAATATATAAAAAGTACAAGTTTACTGGGTCTTTACTACACAAGCAGTAGGTATCTTTTCTTTTAATACACAGACCAGATAAACCTATAGTTTTGCCAGCCTCCTAATCAGCTCATCTGTGCTCTTCTCAGCTAAGTCTCAGCAACATCAAAAGCAGAAACCTTGTCTAATACAGGAAGAGAGAAATGCAGTGTTTCTATGGACATGATAACTCAGGTATTTCACAGGGTATGCAAATTAAGATCAGAAATCTTTCTAATTAGAATAGTAGCCCCCAACCTGAAGCAGTAATCAGTTCTGACTGCTAGAACTTTTGAACAGTACATACAGAAGAACTATTAGGAAAGAAGGCAAAAACTGCACTGCAAGAGATTTTCTATAAAAGATAAGCAGCAGGTATCATCCAAACTTACCGAAGTCACACAACTTCAGAACATCATTGTGGCTTATTAAGAGATTCTCTGGCTTGATATCTGAAGTATCAGAGTGGGTTTAAAAAAAAAAAAGGCAGTTAATGTCTCTTAATTTAGGACTTTGTCAACAAATATTATTTCATTATCACTTATTTAGAGATATTCATGCAATTATAAATGAAGCATTACAACAGCAACTGCTGAAACAGCTTCCAGCAATTCAGTTTGTGAACAGGCAGAATTAATTTTCTGCCTTTTGAAGTATTTTAAAGTGTTTACCAACAAAATATGGAAAGATAAAATGTGCTTACAGATATTCCTAGGCAGAAAAACAATATCCGTATTTCATATTGCAAAATAAAAGGACTGATATTCAATTACCCAGTTAATCAATAAAATACTGAGCATGTTATCGTCAACATTTTCAGTTATAATGACCATTTGATCACTTCTTGTAATTTGTTTAGAAAAAATTACTTTTCAAAGAAAAACTTTTAAGTTTAAGGCCCAGTTTTAAGCCCTTTTTTCATTCCTGTATTACACACACACAGAACATTTTTCAAATTACATTTTGAAAATATTTTCAAAATCATGCTGCTCGTAAATATAAAAACCCACTATGTGAGAATTTTATATTATTGAAATATTAATTAAAATGTTAATCTTACAAAGTAACAAAGCAAAATACAATTGTATTGACTCAGGATAAAATACATAAAACTAGATAAAGTCATACATCAAGATATGTACTCTAAGTGCCTGAAGCTTAGGGAGAAAGTAAATATACAGAGCTGAAACTCAAGAGAGCTGGGAGGAACAGTCTTAAGAAGTAAAACATGGGGGACCAAGTTTTAAGTTTTAAGTTATTTTTCTTCTAATATTACATTATCAGATTCAAAAGTTAAATGACTGACCACCATGAAATGCTAAAAAAAATCCTTTTTGTTAGACAGTGTCTGTTATTGAAGTTACAGTTTTCTGTGCTTATCACTTCCCAAAGACAGTGGACAGCAAACTTTTTATGTAAATGAATTTTGTTTTAAAATGATCTGGAGCCATGAGGAAGACTTAAGATTCAAACAGATTTACATTTTTTTTCCCAGTTGATATAAAGCAATTGCTTATATTTATATTAAATGCAAATTACTTCAAGCTGTAAGATTTTTCCCTTTAGAAAGGGCCTATTTCATGTGGAAAAGTATACACTTACCTCTATGAACAATATCATTCTTATGGCACCAATGAATTGCTTTAATTAGCTGGTAGATGTAGCTTTTCACTTTTTCTGGTGGAACTCCATTTGGCATTTCTTCTAGCAATTCAAGCATATTCTAAATGTTTAAAAGACACATTATTTAAAAGAGCTACACTCTAGCTGCTGGAAGATAACACACTTTCAGCCTTCTGAAGCAACTATTTGGGCTACAGAGCTCAGCTATTGAAAATCAGTAGTTTAACATTCAAGGAGTAAATTTTCATCATAAGCATTCTCCTGGCTGCTTTCATTCTGGAGAAAACACTTGTGAAGACAATAATCCTAAAAGGTGAACCACAAATATACCACAAGTCCTTAAAAGACTGTCATCAAACCCCTTTCCTTAGAACACCGAAAAAGTAATTTAGTTCCAAAACGTTGCTTAAACAGAAACAACAGGTCAGCTGTGTGGCCATATAAAATGTTTAGTAAATCAAAGCACTTTGTAAATATTCAACAGTGCTTTAACATACTGTTCTCTTCATTAAGTTAGTTCTGCCACTTTGACACTGCAGGGCCATGACTGATCACCAACTGTATATCTGTATATGGACGGGTATAAAACAACACAAAACTCTTACTGCAAATGAAGTAACAGATAATGTTATAAATTTGTAACATTTATATCTGTTACAAATGAAGTAACAGATATAAAAATGCCCCACAGGGGCATAAATAGAAACCTAGAGAGTGTCCTACAGCCACAGATCAGCTCCAGTGATCTTGGACATCTCAGCACTACAGCAACTAGGGCCACATCAACTATTTTGTGGATATAAATATGAAAGAAAATAAACTTACTGTTTATACTAGTACATTTCCTCTTTGAAAAAGAGCACTGAGATTCCCATTATGTTAGCAAATGTCTCTAATTTTGCACAATTAGAAGTACAATGAAGTTTGTATGCTGATTTCTGAAATAATAATGGGCAGCAGCAGCCCACTTGCAGAGAGAAAAAAAAGTTATTTACTGAACACTGAAATAGGAATATTTTAGCTATATTGCCTTATACAACTAATTTAATTATGGATTCAAGCATTTGTAGATTTTTTTATTAAAAGTAAATTTACCTTGTCTTTGACAAACATTTTCTTTAGCTGTACAGTAAAATTTTTGAGGTTTCTCTTGAAAGATGCTTTAATGAATAGTAGAGATTTTGGTGATATTTGACAACATTTCTAAGTTTTGCAATTTGGGAGTAAATACTGGAACTTATGTGCTTGAGTGTAAGTTTTCTTACAAACACACTTCAGATCTAAGGAAAGGAATTTTCTGTTAGTGTTACAAATACAAAACAAAATAATAGCATCAACATAGGAAGACATAATCCTATATGAAGACATTAACTAAGGGGATGATGTATAAAGGAGATTAGACTAAATGTGAATTTAAGTAATCTGGATTTCAGTATTGCAGAGTTAACATTCCCCAAAGGACACAAAGTGCTCATTACCAGTTAAACAAAAAATTAGTCTATTCCACCACATTTTATTTAATTGGACTCTCTCCTCATCCAAAAATACAGAAACATCCTGATCTTCAAAGAAACTATAGGCGACACTATTTATGATATCTGAAAATAAGAAATGTTCATTTAATTCAAAGTTTAACTGAAAAGAAAGATGAACATTAATACAGAAATGACATTACGTACAAACTATACTATACCTTTATCATAAAATTCTTTTATTCAAATGCAAATTACGTCAGATATTGCAGTCCCATGTTTTAACCGATGTTAACAAGTTTTGAAATATCTACCCCTTATCAGATCAATTAAATATCTTTTACTTATGTTGCTCTTTCAACCCACCTCTCCAGTCAGCTCAGCCAAGTCAACTACAAGAGAAAAATGTATGTTCTAAGTCGGTGTGTGATTAAAGACATTTCATGTGTCTGGATAAATTGCAAGGAACACGGGTGAAACAAGTCAAGCTTCGAATGTTAGATCCAAGTAACATCCACCACATTAGAAGCTGCTGATCTGCTGGTGAAAACCAAAATTGATTTCTGCCAAATTGTGGACTAATATAGGTCACCTCACATTATGTAGTCAAGTTATATGACAAAGTGAGTTGTCAACCTGACATAAAGCAGACAGCATTTAGATTGAGGAACTTTTAGATCAGAGAAAATTGACTGCAGAGGACTAGCGCTCAGCTAGACTGCAACACCACACGTCAGGAAATTAAGTGAAAGTTTCAACCAAAAGAACAGTATCTCATGAGGGCTATAGACATAGCTAAACCTGCATTTTCTTTTACTCTGTGTATCTGAATACTATGTAACTGTTTCCATGAAGAAATGCAAAATGGTTAGAATTCAGAGGGAAGGTCTACCTTCATCAGGAAGGTTTCAAAAATGACAAAAGACCAATCTGTTCTAGGCTGTTTCTCCCTAGAAACAGATCAGGATGCTTGGCAGTAGTAGTAAGTCTAAGGAAATTTTGGAATAGGTTCAAAATGAGGTCAGGATTGGAGTTAATGACAGCAGTCTTTGCCAAATCCCTCTAAGCAACTATTGATAGTGGCCTTGTTACAGAAATACACAAACAAATCCTATTTTTAACAGCGAAGGGTGGAGAAAGTTAAAAGAGATTCCAAGGTCAAAAGTCTATGATCTTGTTTTGAAAGACTACATCAAGACTAATTACACAACATAACACAAGACAGTTATCCAGCTTTGAAATTAAACTGGGTTAAAGAGTTCAGATGGAAATTTTTCTTCAAATCATATGTATTCCAGTCTGCATAATTTTTAACATGTCAATGTTCACAAACAGAAGAATTTTTTTTTTAAAAAACACCAACACATGCCATAAAAACAACAGTAATCAATGTTACCATCTCACAATAGATGTCTAATTACAACTCATATCTTATTAAAGTTTCTGCTGCTTCTCTTTAAAGATTAGGATAGCATAATTTTTAAAAATAAAATTTTAATTTTAAAGACATTTTCAGTAAGCTGATGATTCAACTGTGGCAAGGATACTACAAACTCAACTCACTTTTTCCACATATTCAAAAACTAAGTAGAGTTTTCCTCTTCTTCTGAAGGCTTCCTTCAGCTCCACAATGTTCTCCTGTTTCAAAGTGCGAAGCATTTTAAGCTCTCGTAAAGTGGTTTCTTTGACTTCTTCATTTTCTAGAGTGTAAAGTAAAAGTGACAGAGTAAGCTGATTAAAAAAACAAAACAAGCCCTCCAAGTAAAAAGTGTTATAAAGATTGATTTTGAACCCCTGATTAAATTCTCTGGTTTCAGACATTACAGAGAAAAAAAAAAAAAGCTTATTTTCCAGTGTGGACTCACTGTTGCACTGTTGTCTGCATACTTTTGCATTCGAAGAGAGGTAAATGATGACTGTACTTATTATGCAACCCTCACAGATTTCCCATCATTACCATAAAGGTTTTCTGTGGCACAGAAAGTCATAAGAAACAAATTGTTTGCATTTCTTTTTTTATTATGAAGGGAATTAATATGCTTCAAAAAACCATTCATGTGTGTGTACATGCTCTACCCCACAAATACACATCACACACATAAACCAATAGGAAGGTTATCCTCAGCAGAAAAACTAGAATGCAAAGCTCATCTTGGAACAATACCAAATACTGTATTTGGTAATGTATTTGATTCTGAAATAATTTTCTTTTCCAAAAGCCATGACAAATTTTAAGACTGAAGCACAGATTTTTAAATCCTGTACATTCCCCACATGGCTTTCACAAGAAATTCAGCAATGCCAGTGTAGCAGCCACAGAAGGAAGTAGAATAAGTATTGATGCAACAAAGTCTTGAATCTAACTCAGAGAAGTCAAGAAATTCAATTGGTTCATCAATTAAATTTAATTTCAATTTAACTGCTTTGACAATTAAATTATCTGAAAAGTGTTCAGACAAGGAGGAGTGCTTCACTAACGCTTCACACCCTGCTTTTCATTAAGGGGCTGTGAACTAACCAGATTCTAAAGGATACCAGCAATGATATGTGAAGTAAACCTGACTGTATTAGGTTATACTTTTCATTTAGTAAAATTAAATCCATTAATTCAGTAAATTTGCTCATGCACATATAGAAACAGCATACTTAATCTCTTAGAACTGTTATCCACAACAGAGAGTTACTAAATGGGAAATGCTTGCATAAATTCAAAGCTAAATCACATTTGCAGGTCATGTACCACAAAGACAGTTAGAGACAGAGGAAGAAGAAACGAGGAAGAGAAATTGTTTTTCCAAGGCAAAAGGCAAGAAGATGTTTGCAGGGGAGAGTGAATAATACTGGTCATGCAAACGCACTAATCATCATCAGAAGAGAGAGGGGAAAAATAAAAAATTGAAGTGCAGCAGGAGGGAAAAGGAAAACAAAATACTATAATCACAAATGTTTTGATTAAAAAATATATAATTTAGAGCAATCTAAATCTTTTCATTTTAATACTGAGTGCTTGATGTTGGCTTGCATGAGCCTGATTGCATAATCTCATCTGTAACAAGACAGTCACTTTCCAGCACATTTAGTATTCATATGTCAAACAACGGCAAAAATTCAGTGAAACAAAAATGTCAATAGAAACAATTAAAGTATATTCAAACTTCTAATGAACTACCATATTAACAAGACAGATGTGAAATGGGCTGAATCAAATCCATCAAAAGAACTTCTGTCGTATTTCCAGAAACTCGTAAACAACTAGCTACAAATCTGAAAAGCAGTCATCAGTCATGTAAACTGATATTATGCAATACCCTTGGAAAGCCAGACCTAATGGCAGTGTTGTATTTTTTGTTTTCATTTTTTGATAGACAAGCTAATACAATAATCCTGTTTAGGCTTAATACTGAGAATTACTTCCTAGGATCTGTACTGTAAAACCACAGCAAGTTCCAAAAAGCAATTCTGAGTTACTCTCATGACCTGGTCAAGATGCTCTTCTATATCCTTTACAGGAATTTAAAAGAGATTTCTGAACAGCAGAGCTAAAACATTTATCAAATATACTCTTCAAGTGTCTAAGAAAATGACATGACAAGCAGAGACTGCACTGTGCAAAACAATATGCAAATCAGACCTTTCTGTGTCTGACTGACTGAAAAATATAGCCCCTTGTAACCAACACCACCTTTATGGCCACCACAAATCCTGTAGGATAGCAAAAATGCAAGTTTGCTAAAATAAAGTGACTGCTGTTTCTTTAAACAACATTGCTAACTTTTGGCTAAAGCCTCAGTACATGGCAAACCACAGCAGCATTGCACCACACCAGGATGATTCCTCATACACTTTATACTTCTTCTGTTTGTGCAGACCTTTGGGGCTCAGGGCTGATTTATGATACACACAAGGTACAAGCTGCTCTCATGGTTGATTGCCAGTGCTGTCTATGATAGGACTTCCATGTCCCACAATAAGCACTGATCAGAGAGCAAGCCTTGTCTTGTATAATTCTTTTGGGTTTGTTACTCTTGGGTGAGGAATGTGTGTGTGGAGCACACAGAATAATTTCTATGCCTCCTGTCTTCCACCATCCTCTTTGCCAGCAACACTAATCCTTGCAGAAATTGGTTTTTTCCCTCTCAGCAAACTCAGCAATGCTGCAGAGTACACAGGGTCTGCTGGGAAGGGGCAAAGAGCAAGTTTTCTGAGCAGACTGAAGCCCATCAAAGTGAGGACAGAGCTGCTGCCTCACCACCCAGCTCCCTCCATGGATCTTCAGAGCTCCCAGATGTATCTGCCATGACTGAACTTCTCAACTACTTCTTTCAGTCTCCTCCATTTACAACTTCAAACTGCCCCGACATTAAGATCCCTTCTCACAGATGAAGGGTTATAAAGCCCAAGGACTCTGCAAGGACTCACTCTTACAAGAGGACTTCTTTACATTTTTCTGGTCACATCCAGTCTCCAAATGGTAGGTCTTACTACCATGTACAGCACCACAATCTCATCCATATTAAGACAGGTGTTTCAAGAAAGAAAGGTAGTTATCTAATTAGAGTGTGTAATGCAGTCTCTAGGAAGGTACGAAAGGTCAAGTGCCTTGAATATTTACAGAGCTAATAAATGATTATCTTTTTAAAAATAATATCTTGCTATATGAGGCTTCTCATTTTAACTGGAGAGATACTAACAATATAGTTAGTGACATTAAAGATCATGCAGCAGAAAAGATTACCTTCACTGTCTTTGAATTTCTTGATAGCCACAATTTCATGTGTCTCCTGTAAAATAAAAGCAAAGAAATGGAGATGAGCAAGATTTGCTGTGTGTTTTCTCTTGCCTATTTTTTCCCCTGAGCATAAGAGGAAGAAAAAAAGAAGCATCTAAAAGGTATTTCACAGTGCAAAAAAATTAATTGAAAATCTGGTAAATACCTCAGCGATCAAGCCAAGTGCAGTACAAACCCACACACAGCAGATATGTCACTATTAGGATCCCCAGTACAAAAGCAATAGAGTTAAATGCTAAAAGTTCCTATTTAAACACCTTGTAATATATACCAGTGAAATTTTCAGAAGTCTTCTCCTGTGACTCTTGTTTCTTAGTTATTCTGAAGCTCTAGCAATCTTTCATTTAACCACAGTATGAATGGGGTGCTTATCTTCATGAGGTGAACTGAAAATACTGTGCCAATATGTGGCTAAGGCTTATAGTAAGACCTATGATTTTGGCTGCCAGAAGTTTCTGGGCTTCAAAGTTCAAACATCTACAAAGAACACAGTATTAGGAAAGTGGTTTCTCTGTGCCTCCTTTTAAAAATTTGTCACCTCAAGGGAAACCTATCCAAAATGGGAATCAGTAATTGCATTTGGCAGTGTTCAACCATGCTTACTGTACAGTCATAAGTGATAACTTCCTAATGTCCACCTGCCTTTGCATGCCTCTAGCATTCTCTACTCACCAAATCACAGGTCAGATTTTTCTCTTAAGTTTCTCTGTTGTTGTGTGACCAGGGATGCATTTAGCACATGGACAAAACGTAGCCAGCAAACGTAGCCAAGTTCAGGTCTGTTCACACAATGGTGCAGCAACTGAACTTTAGCAACAGGAGAGAAACCTTGAAGCCACAGGGTGAGGGCTTGTGAGCACAGAGGCAGGAGGCTACTTGATGAGCTAGATCTACCTTACACACCTTTACCAAACATCACAGTTTTAAAAAATACAAACAGCAATATCCCACTGTTAATAGCATCCAAAGGCCAGACTGGAGAACAGCAATAAAAATAAAGCCATTCTGGAATACCTGAAGACATATGCATAACCAATTATTGAGCAACACAAACATTTACTCCATTTTTCATTTCAAATTTTGTAACACACGAACCTGTAAAATACCTGATCCTAATTAAAATAAAAGCACCTGGAAAGATGGTCTGTAATAAACTGAAAAAAAACATTTTACTAATTGTATCTCTAATACTGAGTTACAGAATTGTTATATTTATTAATTTTAATTCTATTAATAATAGTAATAGTTACTAGGACTATGAAGGGATATTAAGAGGGAGAGTAAATTTAGTTCATTTCACTTCTGGTATCTACTGATAGGTGCTTTAGCTAATTAAGCCACTGAAAGATTTTTCATTAAAGGAACACTGTGAATGCCCTCAAAAATCTCTGCTGACTGCAATATACATAAGTTTAGACAGCATGCATACACAACTTTGCAGATGAATCAAATTTATCTATTAGTATTACATGCCTATTTCACATGAGGTAAAAGAAAAATTTCTAGATGTTCCAGGTACCGCAAAAAGGCAGTGTTTTTATTCTCAAAGTAATATCTAAGTACAGCGAAAGAAATATAGGGGCTGAAACATGTATCCTCAGACAGCAATTCTCATTCATTCAACAAAACTAATCCACATGGCTTCTCTGCCATATCCTGCTATTTACAGTGAATGTGATTACTTTGGAAATTAAGTTTTAAAAGCTCTTGGGTCAAGGTCTTTCACAGATGTGGGTAAGATACGCTATCAAACATCCTGGAGGATTCTGTTTACAGTACTTAAAGCATGAGAGGTTCTAGGAATAACAGGAACAGAAAGACCTCAGGAACCCACTTAGGGATGAAGTTACCCAAATAGTTCAAAATATATAACATTTAAGAATTTTAAATTTAAAAAGCTTTGACGCTTGTATTATTTCATTAAACCAATGAAATGATTAATGGTGTCATAAGCAATTAAGAAGTTATACATGACACTTTACCTGTCTTTGAAAAAGCCCAACAAATAATATTTAAATAACCTGAAGTGAAACAACAGCAGAATGAGACTAGACAATAGGTGCTTTAAGGAGCTGCCCTAGTAACATTATGTTCCATTTTAGCAATGAATATTCTTGTCTAGGTTTCTTGGAGAATCTCACCCTCTGTAAATTATATTCTCTAGGAATGTGCTAGTGGTGAAGCAGTCAAGCCAAGGCTCAAATGGATACAAGGACACTGAAGATTACTACCCACAGATTTTTAAATACACTGCACCTGCTTGACAAAAAGTCTATAACTTGCCTATGATGCAGAACACCTCCAAGAGAGCTGGGGCATCCATCTGACAGAAGAGAAAATTGCAGCCAAGTGCACATTTCTCAGTTCTTGCTCACATGCTCTAAAACAACTAAATGGTTTATATGAAGTGATGTAAAAAATAATCACTCATAATTTTAAACTCGTTTCAAATAAAAAAACCCATCTGAAATACCCAGTTCCTCTATTTCTGTTACTCCTACTAATTTTGAACTAATGTCCAGTTTCTACCAAATTTTAAAAAGAAATGCTGGTCATAAAAAGAGGAAATTTCCAAGAAAAAGTCTCAAGTTTGTCATCTGCATACAAAATATCCTTCCTTGAGGGAAGGAAGCAGCAAGAACTCAGTCTCCTGTACTCTGTAGGATGTTGCAGGTCAGCAGCACATGTAGATTGTGCAACACAATCAGCCATTGTACATAATTTTCATTAACATAAACTAATACAGAACTGAAAACGTGGAATAAATGTTGTATATGGATGAATGCAGAAGGCATATCATAGAGGTGGTAAAAATGGACTTCCTGAATCAAGAGAGACATGCTGGTCAGACACGGGTCAAACCTGGTTTCAAACAAGTATTGATAGAGATTTGGTGCAAAGCAAACAGACACCACATTGCTGAACCCTGAGAAGATAGAACAGGGGATACAAAGAAATGCTTAGCTTTGAGGAATGAAGAAATTCAATAGTGATAATTCAGACTTCTGGAGAAATCTGGAAGGTTCTTTACAGATTGAATCCAGATTTTGTTACTTAAAGGTCTACTAAAAAACATTTTAGAGATCTGAGCTCTTTTGTGGATCTGGTTTCCTGCTCTTCAGAAACAGGTTAAATTGGAATTTTCCAAAATAGAAGTCATTCACTAAATTGTGTTTTTTTGCATTTCAAGGGGTGTTTTTTCAAAACTGTACTATGAAACAGAACAGTACTGAAAACAATGTTCAGCCTGATTGTGAAACCCACTTATAAAGTATCTCAGTATGCAACTCCTAGCATGAAAATTGTCATTGACAATTAAATGTATCACCTAGGTGGATAAGCTGGTACTCGGTGATTCAGTGTTTGACTTCAGTGAATGTCAGGGAAAGAAAAAACTCACATAATCCTTTCTGATCTCTACTGCTAACTACTACCACCTTATATCACGAAGTAGGAAAATCTGAGTTTGCTTAGCTATAATTTTGCTTCACTCAGCTACATTTATTACTAAGCGCCTCATGACCATGTTCTAATAAAAAAAATTATGGCCTCAATATTTGACTTTACAACAACAGTAAATTTGAAAACACAGAAGTCAAATCTCTCTAAACACTTATTACCTCTAATTATTGAGCATATATATATTATTAACATCCTATGTTATAAAACTATAGGAAGAACAGTTTTACAATTAAACATACAACAAGAGATGAACATTACTGAAAAGACTTTGTGTAAAATTTAAGGATACACAGAAACTGGTTATTCAGACTACACAATTACATGTGTCTAAAATGGGGCAAGATATGTCTCTTCATGTGCCAGCATATATTTTTTAATAAGGCTAAGACAAAAATTTCTGTTCTATTTCCTTCACAAATAAATAGTGATAGAGAGGAGGAAGGAGATACATGTTCATGGGAAAAGGGTACCTCCAGCCATGGAGAGAGGAATCACTTCATATTAAGGCTCAGTCCTTTCCTATACCTCCAAGTATGTGTGGGAATTGCCTCTGGAGAAAACACATGCTTTACTGTCTGCCCACTGAAGCACAGATGGGAGCATGGCTATGAGAGCTGAGCATCTGCACTGCTGTGCTCCTTGCCACCCACGAGTTTCTCTCCAAGGTTTCCTCACACGACTGTCATAGCTGGTGTTTCCTGCCACCACTATCAAACTAGAAGAGTTCCCAACTCAAAACCATTTAATTTAGCTCATTTAAAGGACAGAGGTCCCTATTTTCCCACTGTCTCTACAAAATTTATATGACAGAAGTCACTTCTATAATATGTAATTATATATGGCACAAGACACAAGTGTCAGAACAGCAGTGTAATGCATCTCTGTTGTTTTCTTGAAAGACCCTTGATGGCAGTACTCAAGGAAAAAGATGCTGCTTAGCATAAATCAAGATCTTAGAACTACAGCCATTATTGTTTGTAAAGACAAAGCATATCCTATTCTTGAAAATGTCATGTTACAGTAAAAAAATTTCTTTAAATGTCTGTCCTTATTTTGTTTCAAAGATTCCTGTTAGGATTTTCTTTCTTTTTCTGTTGCAAAAAAAAAAAAAAAATCTGGAAACTCTGACACAAAGCACAGGTACACAAAAAGATTCTTGAAATATAGATAAGATTCCGACCTTCTCAAAGTTACATCATTCACCTCTGATTTTACTGCCTCACCCTGTATGAGTACAAGAATTTCTCAAGCACAGAATTTTTAAGCAACTGAAAGATTAAATGTTGATAAATATCAATAGATGTGAGCAGAGATAGCAGCTGTCAACACTGAGCACATCCCATGCACAAGCAGCATTTACTAAGGGGGTGCTGCTCAAGCACCATTTAGTACATCCCATCAGGGTTTTACACTGATATATTAAGTGAAACAATAAAATATGATATGGCGTGTCCTGTGGTTGGCTCATCATTTCCATCTGTACAACTGTGAGGCTGTTTAGGCCCAAACTCAACTTCTGTTAGAAAAAGT